AATCCGATTGACCGTTTCTGTCAGACGGTTCCCGTCGGTGGCTTCGCCCTCACTGCTTTGAGCTTTGCTCCTCTCGATGACGGCTGTGGAGGCCCTGTCGATATCACTCAGAAACTCAGAGAGACTATTGTAACGATCCGACGCGACCCTCGCTTGTATGCTAGTACTTTCGTCTTTCTCTCCTGATACTTTTGCGCGTTTCGAACGCGGCTTCGCAGGTGACGACGGAAGAGGGCATGAGAGTAGCTGAAGTTCGGTATCATTCCTGGGACACATCAGTTAAACTCGAGTCCGCGGGATCAACAGCACATGGGTGATACGCACTTGCTGAGGATATCCACGAGATTACTCAGGGTTTCGTGTAGTTTGATCCTTTCCTGAACCTGCGACTCAGAAGCACCGGCATCCTGGACAGCATGAACATCATGGCTTGATCCACGCTTTCGCTTTCCAGGCGTCGACAGTACAGGCGGATCTGGAGTCGCGGATTGAGGTTCGCCGTTGGTGGCGGGAATTGAAAGCGTCTCTCCGCCTTCGTCTGCGCTCATGGCTTCAAGTCCGGAAGTGCGCCGTTGTTGCAGTTGTTTTTTAGCTCCTTGAACGCGAGGACGAAAATTGACTTCGTCCCAGGAGTCGATCTAGGAGATTTTCGGGCGAATAAAATCCCTGAGCGCTGATCGCGACGCGAAGATCAGAGGGTTAGGAGTGAATGTTGAGACGAAAATCGGAACTGAGACCCCGAGTTCCTGAAAGAATATCGGTGTTTTGAGGCTTGCTCGATCTCCGATGCGCATGCGCCAATCGTTACAGGGCCGAGCGAAGGATAAGGGTCGCAACTCGTACAGAGGAAAATCGCGACTCTATCCCGCGGTGGGGCGAAAGGCACAGAGACGAGACAACGAGTATCCTCAAATTGTGGATGACTACAAGTGAAAGGAAGAGATAATGGGATTTAGAAAACGAAAACAACGACGACACCTTTGGTCTCGGACTGCAAAGGCGGGAGGGAGATTCACTAAGTTAGGTAAAGAGGGAGATCCGGTCGATGCGCGCCAAAAACGTGACAGCCGCTCACGTGATCCAGCATTTTCCTTCCGAGTTCCAGAGTTTCTGGGTGTAGTAGCCTACTATTTCTCAACCTACAAACACATTTTAATTGATGCTCCTAGCTGTGTCCGGAGGCTTCTTTGGTTCCTTTTCTGGCTCCTCAGCAGCCTCCTCATGATTCTCTTCATGGATGTCATCGGTCTTCAATCATGTTCCGAGCCGCTCGGGGGCCTCTCTGAGAGCGGCGCATTTGATTAACAATTGTCCATGGCCAAAGGTATGAGAGCTTGGACCCTTTTTTAGGCAAACCAATGGCTCCATTGGAACCTTTGCTGATTGTTCGTCCTTTGATCGGTTAGGACCGCTCCTCCAAAAAATTTTCGCGTCCTACACATCAAACGAAGTGGCATCGCAATGGCTTCCTGTGTTCTGCGGGGGTCTTCCGGGAATACAGTTATATTAGCACTGCCGCTCCTACAGAGAATGAGCGGCTGATCGATGCCAGTGGCGAGGAAGATCGTTGGCATGGCTTCTGGTGTAGGGTCCGAAATCAGTCTCAATTGAGCCGATCCTTTTCACCCTCCGGCTCGAACCATCTGTACGGACGTAACAACAGCTCCGGCGAATCGGACAATTCACCGTCAATTGTCAATGTATATTCAAGCGAGCACGATGCAACTTTGACCGAACAGTCCGAAAAGAAAGCGAAGTCTTCTCGAAAGGCCGCGAAAGTGAAGGGAACACGATCTACTATCTTGACCCCTACGCAGTATCTACTCGATGTTCTCCATGATTGTGCACGCAGTACCGGAGATGGACTCGGTCAGACGCAGCCTTTGTATCTCTTCGCGAATGATTATGGAAAACGGCAGAGAGAAGCGCCTCTCAAACAACCGAGATTATCGTTGCAGACTATTCTTGCGGATTGGATACAGTTTGTGGATCCGGTCTTGGGTCGGGTACATAGAGCACATTGTGATACCGAAGCGACGCCAGAGCTGGATGCCGTATTGCGACAGGCGTTTCCGCCAAAAATTATCGAGTATTTGACGGCCCGTCATTGCAGCCCTAGCGAGGTGTTGCTCTGGTCATGGATTCTCAGGAGCAACACCTCTCACGAGGCTGCTCTTCGAATTTTGATGGCTGAGTCTGCTGAGGGAGCCAGACCCAGTTCCCAATGTCGGCGCATACCTCCGTTCATCCCTCTACTTCTGCTGCGCAGACAAAGCCTCGACGCGAAGACTTTTCGCTTGCTTCTAATTTATTCCCTGCACATCATCACTGGCCGGAAAATTCCGCCTTTCGACGCCTTCAAGCGCGTACGATGCACTGCTCAGGAGCTCGAGGACAGTCTCGGTTCACAACAGACAGAATTCCCCATCGACCCTACTACATGTTTCGCTTTCGTTACCCGTCTGCTTCGTCATGCTCGTGAAGTATGGCCACAGGCCCAGCTCACCATTGCGCGTGCCTTCGCATCCTACCTGACTCTGCTAAGAGACGACCAAGAAATTTCGGAGATCGCCAGACACCGTAGGAATCAGTTCATGGCTGACAAATTCAACGCATGTCTCTGGCTGCTCTCGTTACCTTGCAAAGCAGGCCCTTTCAAGTTTGTTTCGGTACAGCAACAAGCTCAATTCGAACTTCTCAAGGCTATGGCAGGACACAATCCGGTCCTTCCGGTTACACGGCAGGGATACCAAGGTATCATTGCTGTGCAATTGGCCCACAAGAAGACCTCCGCCGAACGGCAATCGGCAGAACTGAAGGCGCCATCGTGGCCACCGTGGAAGGAAGAAAAGCTTGGAATCGACTCTCAACGAGGGAACGAAGGAATGAAGAGTCGCGCCATGCGCGTGATTGCTCAAATGAGAGAGGCAGGCTACTCTCACACTCGCTGGGAAGAGGTTTCAGGGATCCTGGCCGGCTGGGACACGGACAAAAGCCCTACGGTTCAGACCCGGGCTTTGATGCGTCGACCTCAACTGCTACGTGGGCCTGCTGGAAGCAAGCCGGATCATCACGCAGTCTGGGTGGCCCGGATCCGCGCCACGCGCACGGTGCGGGAGGCTTGGGCTTGCTTTCTGTCATATCAAGATCAAGGGCTACCGCCGCGAGCGAGTATATATGTCGCCATGGCTGAGAAATTGATTTTCCGGAGAAAAGCACTCGAGAATGACTTCGACCATATCAGTCATTCTCTACCAGGCGATGGCCTGGAAGTCTTCCCGGAACCCGCTTCCGCCCGCGATTTGATTTATGTACACACGGAGCCTCCTACCCTGGAAGAGCTTCTCAAACAGATGCTTTCCCAAGGGATCCGTCCATCCGGGAGATTTTTGGCTTTGCTTCTGCGATCTGCGCCGACATTCGATTGCGGATTGGATTATCTCAGTTGCAGTGACTTGTCGAACGAACAAATCCAAGCTTTGTGCACTGTGGGGGAAAGTACATCAGATTATGATGCGTTGGATTCAAAGGTTTTGGATGAACTGCCCGACTACCTCTTTTCATCTTTCATAGGCTTTCTTTGCAACTTTTCGAGTCTTGACTCCTTGCACCTGGAACGGCATGATATACGCACTGCCGATCTATTCCCCATTATTATGAGCAGTATTCATCCAAACAAGCCGAAAACCTCGACGCTGTTTTCCAATATTCATACATCAGGAGGAAGCGGCACCTTGCAGCATCCGAAAACCTTGTCGCATGCGATTCAGTTGTTGAAACTTCGAAAGTCCCGTTTCACCCCTCCGTGGATTCATCTCTTGACAGCGCTGAGCAAGGATCGCATCAGAACGCCATATCGCAGAATGAGCCGCAGTGCACAACGGGTGCTTGCTTGGTATGAGATGGTCGAGGTCATCGGTTGGATGAAAGAACGTGCCATCGACCCTGGCCTGCAGGGGCATCAGGTCCTCTGCGCCAGCTTCTCAAAGGCTGTGATGGCAAGGTTGAAACATCCAAATGCCGCAGAAGAGGGCCTGGCGATTGTTCATGAAGCAGCACGGCGAGGAAGCATCAAACACTCCAAGGTACTACGCCCCCATTTTGAGGACATGGTTCAGAGTGGACTTGCCATTCTCAAGGAACACTTTGACCAGCTTGTCCTTTCGGATCCGAAAAACGCCCCTTTCGGTGAGCGTTCGGCAGGCACGTTTGAGAGTGCTACGAGTCCGCCGGTGGCTATTCCTACTATGCTTCACGTGCCTTCTCCAGCCGCTCTACATGCATTCGTGAGAGCGCTAGGGCTGGCTGGGGATCATGCCGGCCTGTTGGACTTGCTTCGATGGATGAGCCAGAATGCTGCCACCCTCAAAGAGACGGCTGATGAGCATATGAACGGAGATCGCATGATGCGGCGTACTCTGGTTGCACTCCGCGTGTTCCTTGAAGGATACAGAGGGAAGCGACCTCGGGGAGAATCTGACAATTTGCCGTCGGAGTCAATGGCCGAGGGAGCACCTTTTTCCAACATTGTCTCAGATCCAGATGCGAGCGTATCCGATTCGAAGCTGCAAGAGGCATATGAGATTGTCGCGGCGACTCCGCTGTGGGGTTCATGGCCAAGCGATGATGAGGTCTGGGAGTATTTACACTGGGAACCTTAGCAGTCTGTACATTAGATTCTGTATATATATTCGTTTAGTTGTAGTCAATCCGATAGATACCCTTTCGCTGATAGATATCTTTCGCTCTCTCGCTTGTCATCCACTATCCAAATGATCATCCGCTTATCCGCGGCATACTTCGGTTCCCCACAGCGGGAGTAAAGCTTTAGCTTTCCCCGCGAGTTGGAGAACGACCGAAGAGCTTCAACCTCCATCTTTTGGATTCTTTTTCCTTTCCGACTGTGCTCAATCTTACCTACTTCAAAGTCTATATTATAAAGCCCAATCGATATTGAAAATGCCTCCCCGACTCCCACGCCTCGCACCGGCTCTCTCGAGCCCCCTCGAATCGTCTCGCTCCGCGTCACCATCTCCCGCTACAGCACCAGCACCGACGACGCCGTCATCCAAACCCAACAAGTCCCCGCGCCAGGCTCCGGCAGCGTCCGCGTCCTGCTCCTCAACCGGCCCAAAGCCCGTAACGCCCTCTCGCGAAACCTCCTCGACTCCCTCTCCAAGCAAATCCACTCCATCGCCGCCGAGGGCGGCACAGGCCCAACCCGCGCCCTGGTCATCGCCAGCAACGCTGACGCCGCCTTCTGCGCCGGCGCGGACCTCAAAGAGCGCGCGAAGATGACAAAGGAGGAGTGAGTTCCCTTCCCACCCCCACCCCACCCGGCATCACCACCACCTGCCATTACTAGGATCCAATTGACCTTGGGGAAGGACGAATGAATTCCTCACCAAACTCCGCGGCACATTCCACGACCTCGCAGCCCTGCAGATCCCCACCATCTCCGCCATCTCCTCCACAGCGCTGGGCGGCGGCCTCGAGCTCGCGCTGTGCACGCACCTGCGCGTCTTCGGGTCGTCTGCTATCGTCGGACTACCAGAGACCCGGCTGGCGATTATCCCCGGCGCGGGGGCACGTATCGCCTCCCTGCGCTGATTGGGGTGAACCGCGCGCGGGACATAATATTGACAGGGAGACGGGTGTCCGGGCCCGAGGCGTACTTCCTGGGTCTTTGTGATCGGTTAGTGGAGATCTTGCCTGAGGAGGAGGGGAAGGAGGGGGTTGCGAGGGAGAAGGTGCTGAGGGAGAGTATCAAGCTGGCGCTGGATATTTGTGAGGGGGCCCGATTGCTATCAAGCAGGCGATTCAGGCGGTTGCGGGGTATCACCGGGGCGAGGCGGCGGAGAATGAGGCGTATAATGGGGTGATTGAGACGGAGGATCGGTATGAGGCGCTGAGGGCTTTTGCGGAGAAGAGGAAGCCTGCGTTTCGGGGGAGGTAGATAGAGTAGATTATCTACGAGGTGGGCATTTTACTTTGCTGTAATGGTACAGACTATGGATTGCTCAGGTTTTACGAATGCTCTCTAAACCTAAGGTCTCTGCAATCACAACGCTCTGGAACCATATCAGTGAACTGTCACAACACTGGTACTGCATACGCACGCAGTCCAAAAAACGTCTTCTTCTTTCCACCGTACCACACGACAAGGATCAAGACGACGATTACCACAACAACCGGAGCCAAATAGTTCATATTAGACGGCTTGGGCGGCATGATCGTCGGAAAACAGAAGATGACCATATACAGCCCAACCCATACACATGAGAACGCATTGACGAAAACCCCATAGCGCCCTAAGTCGAAGTAGCGGTCGACAAGGACCTTATCCCGTCCACGGAAGAGCAGGATGCCCTGCGGGATTACGTACGTTACGTTCAAGGATAGGATGGCCATCGAGACGATGCTGCTGTATGCTGTGCTGGATGCAATGTAGATAAGACCATACAGTGCCATCAGCGCGGCACAGGCAACGGTCGAGGCGACGGGCGTTTGGAAGCGCGGATGCACTGTGGCTAACGTTCTGGAAAAGGGCAGCCCGTTGTCCCGGGCAAACGCCCACGCCATGCGGCCGGATGTCGCGAGCCCGGCGAGTACGCCTCCGAAGTAGTTGAAAATAAGCCAGACGGTGAAAATGGCGGCTACGTCTTTGCTCCCCGTCGCTTGATGGTACAGCGTCAGGATGGGCAGTTCGGACTGGACGATCTCGCCTAGGTCGACCGTCGCGAATAAGGTGGCCACGACGAAGGGCACTGTCGTGGCGATCCCAATCATGGGCGTTAGCCACATTACCTTGGGAATATTCCTGCCTGGATCCGGGACCTCCTGCGAATTAGTCAGTCTTTCTGAAACGCGTTCATTGGGAGTCAAGAGACATGCCTCGGCGATATGTGTCGCTGCGTCAGTGGCACAGAACATGTACATACAGGTCCCGAGTCCTATGAGAAACGACAAGCCGTCGGGCCATCCAGTCTCGTTTTCGTACTGGGTGAACACAACGCGGGCAGGCTGCTTGCTCTTGCTCATTCCGAGAACCGCGGCGAGACACGCTACAAAGGCAGATATGCTGCTCCAGAACATGATCTCCTGCAGCCGCGGCAGCCAGTGAGCGAGGAGGCAAACCATTGCCGTCACCAGTGTAATAAGAGCAAGAAAGACGAGGTATGTCTGCCACTGCCTGGGCTGGTAGTCCTCATTCAGGAACGAGACGAGCGCAAGAATCGCTTGAGCTTTTTTTTTTTTCCCCCATCGTAAGTTGAGCCTGCCCAAAAGTCTCATAGAAACTCGGGCCATACCAGTGAAAATGACGCCAGACACTGTGGTCAGACACCACGCAAGACAGCTGAGCCAGCCACATACAAAAGCACAGGGTATCCGAGTCTTTGGTGACGAGACCATAAAGGTGTAATGATATTGTCCTCCGCTCGACGGAAACGCAGATGCCAACTCGGCAAGACCCAGGGCTGAGATAGTCATATCCTAGTCAGCGTACTACAGGCAATTGAGGAACGCAGGCGTACTGATAATAGTGCACACGATCCCAGCCACTATAACACCATAGAAAACGGCGGGGCCTCCACCGGCGAGTAACGCAGCGGGGAAGGTCCCAGAATAACCAACCCAGGAGTTTGTGACAATATAAGCAAACGATAGAGCTGAACTCGCAGAGAATTGCTGTGGGAGCTCCCTTTGCTGTCTTCGTGCTTGTGGCAAGGCATCGTCAGCCGCCAGGACGCTTGCTGGACCGGATTTGTCGGTCTTGGGAATGGCCATGTTGCAACCGTGTTCCCACACTATCCGAAGATATGGAAGCCTGCTGTACAAGCTGGCTATGACATTGCATTATATAGTCCTTTATCAGCCTGGTAGTATCAGCCTGGTAGTGGAATGAGGGGCACAGTCCGGAGCTGGTATGAAATAGAAGTAAGGGATATCAAGAGCGTACCCATTCATACAACTTAAGGATGCTTCATTCCACAGCCGTCTGATGCATACTCCTTTGAAGATAAGCGCAAGAGACACTGGAGTATAAGCGCTAATGCTCATTATCGTCGCTTCTCACCGCTGCCTTGTACAACGCCCCAGAGAGTCCAGACGTACACTGTAATGAAGCACATTGTTCAACACTGATGGTGGCACAGAAAGCGGCCAGAAGTCGACTGCTACACTGGACCTCTGAGTGCTAAGCAAAGTGATCGAATTAAACCTCTCATCACATTCAAGTGAATCTTTCCGTTGTCAATGGCATGGACCCAATACGAACAGATTTTGAGATATGCTGGACCATGTACAGCATGAGGCATGCCATCCTGGTCAAATGGGAGAGGCCATGGGAGCTGAGCTAACTTCCTCAGATGGAAGTTACTTAAACTGCATAGATTTGTAGATCTTTTCTGCTCAAGGGAGGACTGTTGTCGCTGTGTATATCCACTGCCCCTTGCGGAACAATTTCGGCAACTGAGACCTGGAAGCGCCTGTCTATTGCTTTCAAACAATCGTTTCTTCAAGTCAAATCTGGCATTTTTGATGAAGCATAGCCCTCGCCGTCTGATGCTAATGTCTGTGTGTGCCTCCGAATGGCAATTGCAGCCGGCCAATCTATCAGGGCCGCTTATCGGTCAAGACAGGACGGTGTCTCTCACCAGGACCAGTGCTGGCTCTTGACGCTCAGTGAATAGCATGTAGCAGTTTTGCTTCCAGCCTGGTCCAGACCTGTTGTTGAGGGGTAAGAAGCAGGGGTGGTGTAAAGCAAAAGTGGAAATGTTGAGGTGCAAGAGACGACAAATAAAGCATCAAGCTCACGCAAACCTATTCCAGGAATAGTCTGAGCCATGCACTGTCTAGCATCAAGATATCCATAGCTTCTAGAGCAGCATCGTCTTAGGCAGGAAATGGCTTAGTTTCAGGTCAAACGTTTTCTTTTCTGGTCAATTGACCAGCGTTGGGCTTTACCCTTGGTGCTTTAAGTTATAATAACATCAATGCTTGGACTCAGGCATACTAGAACCTGTTAACCAAGGTGTCCATTTACCCTATCACTATCACCATTACCATGAGATGCACGAAGTCTCTTCCATAACAAGGGTATGCCAAACATCAAAAAGGAAAGCAGGTATAGAAGCCCGAGTGAACAGTAAACGCCTGTGCCTGTGCCTATGCTGCTCTATCTCCCATCTTATATGCATGAACCTTGATCAAAGCGATCAAACGCTGAATGACAATGCTAATATGAAAATGAATGCGGACAGTGCATAACTCCAACCGGCGCTCATATGCATTTGCACCAGTACCTGCCTGATGCTTTCTTTCTTTTTTTCCCCCCGCTTCGTCTTTCTCACCTCATTCTCATTATCATGTGACAAATCAAAATCAATCTTTTACTCAGGATGTATTGGGGAGCTGCCACTTCGGGGTCGTCGAACGTATGTTCCCTGTGTGGCTGCACCGGCCAACGCATCCTGGCTCGGACGGATGAGAGGACCCGATCTATTTGAGTGATATAGTTGCCACGCGGTACCAGAAACCTGATAGCGCCCACCCACTTCGAGCCTCTGCCGAGCGTTCCGCACATCGACTCGGTGGGCCCCGAAGTGCAGAATCCCTAGGTCTTCGGGTGAGCCGACACTCCCCAGGCTTGCTGGTTGCTGCACATCACCTATCCAGCCGCCAGTCCCAGAAAGTGACTGTTGTTGGGGCATGTACACCACGGAGTTGGATGGCAAGGGGATGAGCCGCGGTGGAAGGCGCATGGGCTCTGGTTCCGGTTCTGGTGACCAGGACTGGTAAGACTGCCCCGAAGGCCCTCGTGACAATGGCTCCAAAGCGGGAGGCGGGTCGGATGTGTAACCAGTGTTTCCGATTCCATCAGTGATAATCGAAACCGGTGGTGAGGCACCCGGCATGATGGCAGATGGGTGTGTGATTGAATGGTGTGTGGTTTGGAAGGGAGCGATTGGGCCGAAAGTGGCGGCCGACTGACTGACAGGAGGCGGCGGCGGCATGTTGTTGCTCGCATTCAAGCGTCTTGGAACCGTGATTTCGATGTCATTCTCGTACGGGAGCGGCTGTGGGGGGATGCCAAAATCGACGGCGTACTGGCCGACATGTCCCTCAACGGCGCCGCTGTCATTGACGTGGATAATTGACGGTAGTGGTAACGTGAGTCCGGTGCAATTCCCAAGTCCAGTGCGTGCAGCTGTTGTGTGAGAATTTCTGGACCTGGCTCACTGTATGTGGATCGGCTCAATCGGTCTTCCTGAAAGCGTGGCTCTATGACACTGGTTCCCAGCGTTCCACCCGAAGATTTGCTTTCCAACGGCTTCGGCACGGGCAGACCCGGGCGATTCGTCTCCCCAGGTGACGACGAGGGCCGCTGCTTCGGTGAAGACGAAGGAGCTCCTCGTGCCTCTGCGACGTGCTTGGCTTTGGCGACCACTGCAGCCCATGTTCGGTTTGCTTGACCGGCAGGCAGATCTTCCTCGGATCGCCGAGGGCTGGCACTCTGCACTGATGTCAGTGCTTCCGTGGCAGAGACGGACGAACTACTGCGGCCTTTCTCCATGCTACTGCTCGACGCGCTCCTCCCTTCAACAGGGAAGACCTTGAGCACAGGAGCTGCCGGTTTGGAGCCATGTATGTGGGTTGGAAACTTTAGGCGCTGTTTAAGCTGCCTCTCCTTCCCAGGCTTAGGTTTCTGCGGCTTCTCTACCACCTGCCAGCCGTGATCGTCCCGTGGCGGGCTTGAAGCAATCGATGGCTTTTCCGTAGCTTGGCTTATCTGGGAGAGCGAAGACGCTTCCATCTTCTCCCGATTGGCTCCCTCGGCCTCCTGTTCGCTACTCGATTCGCGAAAAATATGAGGGAGAAAGGGGCTCAGGTTGAACCCGTGCGCCGCAGCGGGTAGCTCCTTCGGTGACTCAACTTTCGCCGATTCGTCGCCGAGATCCCATGTCAGTTGCCTCGACGGGCTCTCGTCAGAATCCGGCACGGACGACGAAGAGCTGCTTGACCTATCAAACACGGAACGTTGTTTGCGAATGGAGTCTTGTGAAGAATGGGGCGACAGGCGCTCAATTTCGCTGGAGATGCTCCTCATCAGCTGTTTTAATTCGCTACGCGCCTCTTGAACGATTTTCTCTTTCGAGGCCCGTTTCGGGAAGTTCTCGATCAACCGGGATGCGTGAGTTTCATATTCCCGGTAATCCTTAACCAGGCCGTAATCATCGACTAGTTCCATGCGCTTTTTCGCGTTCTCGTACGACTTGCAGAGAAGACGGATGGCCACGACGAGCCATGATTCGTAGAAGCCGGCCTCGGCTTTGACGACTCCAGAGCCTGATCCTGATTCAGGGATTGATCCAGCCGCGGACCCTCGTCGAGCCTCTAGCCTCGATGACTGCTTCCTTTGCTCTTCATCCATGATTTTCAATTCGTCGCGGCAGAATCCCTGGACCACGCTATGGATCTTGATGACATCGATCGAACCCGCCTTTTGGTAGATGGAGAAGCTAGCTTCCTGGCTACTGCTCTCCGTTTGCGATTCGGACAGTTCGGGCACCACGGCTCTGGGGTCGAACATCAGGTCTTTCTCGGATTGCGGGGAAAGCTCCTTCAAAACATAAGCATCGGAGGTCCTCTCAATTAGACCGTACCGAATTAAGATCCCTAAAGTGGTGTCGATATCTCCCCGCTCCCCTGGCCTACTGCTTGTGAGAATTTCGACATTCCAGGTCTCCAGAACTGATTTGCCCAAGTTGATGAGCCCCAGCGGCACATGGTGTCCAAGGAAAGAGAGGAGATTGATCAGGTTCAGGGCCTCAAAATGCCCCATCCGGTAGAGGTCGTGCATAATACTGAGGAAGGGCTCCGCAAGCTTTTCATCGGTCAGATGCGAGTTGATATGATACCTTTCAATTGGCTTGGACGTTGCACTGAGGCGGTGACTGATCGCATGGATGGCAAGGGGTAAACACTCATAGTGCATGACCAGTTCGGTTGCCTTGCGGAGCTGCTCTTTGGTGGGTCGCTTGATTCCCAAATCCTTGAACAAGAGCTTGCACGCATCCTCGACCGACAGAGGGGGCACTTGAAGGCAGTAAGGCTCGTACAAGCGCTGTTTCTTTCGCAATGTTCGATCCACCGAGGTGTACATAATGCTGCATTGTCTGTTGAAAGGCAAAAACTGCCTGAAATGGTTCAGGTCATCTTCCTGATTAAAGCTGAGACCATCAAAGACGAGAAGCCACTCCTCGCGAGCTTGGAACCAGTTGCGGACCACCTCTACGTACTTCTGCGGTGCTTTGAAGTCCGGGCTCTCGAATTCAAGCTCGTCCGTTAAACTCGCAGCCTGCGCGATGTCCCAGAAGCACTTGCTAGTCGACTCTCGTGATTTCGCATCTACCCAGAATATGCCGCCGGGGTAGCAGTCGCGCTGAGTCCACACGTATTGTCTTGCCAGGTGAGACTTTCCGGCTCCAGGTACCCCGCATATCAAGACAGCTGCAAGGCGCTCAGCCCGCTTCTTAGCTCTGTATAACCGAGCGTGTAAGATATCCAGCTCTCTGGTCATGCCAACAAAAGTGGCATTGGGATGGAACCCTGCTGGCACCACAAACAGCGGCTCTCTCAATGTTGATCGTGACAGGGCAAGCTGCGTTGTACTATTGGATGGGCCGGGATCGGGGGATTCACCACCCCCTCCTTTCAAGGTAAGTCGATTTGCGGGATTTTCTAAGAGAGAAAGAAAGTCAGCAATGGTCTGACTGAGAAGGCTATCTTGTTTGGCACAGCAATGACTATAATACAGGAAGAAACGCAATCATTTCAAATGCCGTAAGGTCAACAGGCAAAGCAGTCGAGTAAATCAGGATTCCATTTTTTTCTTGTTTTCTTTCACTGCATCTCTTTCTCTCCCCTCTTCCGACTAATCATCGCTTGTTGCTTGGAAGCAGGAGCAGGAAATGATATGGAGGAACCAGGGGCCTACGCGTTTCCTGGCTCAAGGTCTTCCAATGCTGGGATGAGTTCAGAAGGGGAAAAGAGACTGCTCTCATGGCGAACTGAATCAAGCATCTGCAGGTTCCTCAACCTCATACTCCCGCAGGGTAACAGAACCAGATGACCGAGGTGAAAGAAGGAGGGGTTGATTCCTACCAGGTGTTTGAACGTTTTGCATGCTGGATGCCGGGCTGATGTTCTCTATAACAAAAATCAGCAAAGGCTACGGTTCTTTGCACATGATGTATGGACATACCATTGTTGAAGATTTCTTTTGCTTTGGTCTGCCGGATGACCAAGCGGGTCTTTTCTTCCTCAACCCATCTATCAAAGATGGTCAAGGGCGCATCACGCGAGTACCGAAGCAAAGCTTCAGCTACAGCCTCGAAGCCGGGAGCATCCTCATCTGCAAACTTGCACATATGGCTGTGGTCCGCCTCGATGCCCATTCGCTCGACGCCTTCAAAGTAAGGAGCGGCCGAGCTTTCATCCACAATTAGTTCACGGGTGCCCTTGACGTCGGTGGATCGAGTCTCGTGGAAAAAATAGAGATGGAAACGACCCATGATGTCGGCAAAGAGACTGTTGATGTTCTGGAGAGTCTCATTGTTGGTCCTCAGTGCTTTGATGAGCTGCGGAGAAGACTCCATGAACTTCTTTGGCAGCACGGCGCTGCAGATGTTCTGCAGTAGCACGCCCCATTTCGCAACGTCTGAGCCATTGTGCGGGGTCCCCAGAAAAAGGATACCGTACGTTGAGACGAAGATCGACCGAAGGTGCTCGATCTTTTCATTCGAAACGCTCCTGCAGTAGATCAGGGCCCGTTTGACGACGAGACCGCCCAGTGAATGGCAAACAAAGATGATGGGCCGATCCGGACAGTGGCGAAGCTAGAAATCAGCAGTTTAGCGATGGGTCACGGTAGAGGGAATATACGTAACTTACGTTGCGATTAGCAGCTAGGGTTGAGGCTAGGGTTTCGGCATGCTGATGGATGTGGTCTTTGGACGCTCCGTCGGTAAAGGCAGTAACATTGGCGTTATAGCCGTACGTGAGGATCCGGACCTTGCAGGGCTCGAGCAGGCTGGGCAGTAAATCTGCCGGCCAAAAAATGGGGGGTTCCTTTGTAGACCAGGTATTGTACGGATGACCGTTGAGTCCATGCACGAAGACGATATCGACCAGCGGCTTTTCCTTCGTGCAGTAGACCTGGGTGAGGCCGATCGTCTTGACCTTGGCAGCCCAGTCGGTCATTATGAGTAGTGGTGGGCTAGCCAGGTAGCTAGCTCGTATCACGCGGATTGGTTTTCGATGGCAAGATTACGCGGGGATCATCGACTGTGTAAAAGATGATTAAAGAGATTCGCTAATGTTGAGATGACGATGCAAAACGAGCATAGTGAGAGGAAACAGTCGAGTGAGGGGAGATGGAGGAGCAGGTAAGGGAGAGAGGTGAGGGGAGAGGATAGGGGAGGAGGGCCATTTTAAATAGAAAGAATAACTGTTATAGTTGCCGCGACGATTGTGAAGGTACGCAAAGCTCTTGTGATAGGTGGTTGAGGGTGGACTAGGGGCCAGATGATAGGTACAGTGGGCAAGATGACCAGCCTTAAAGAATGACTAGGTACTTAGTAGAGTACCTAAGCAGTAAACAGCCTGGTGCCTGCGGGTGGCAGTTCCTAGCTGGTCACATTCGGTGCCCGTTCCCGTGGACAGCATCAGGCTGACGGTCCTGATTGGGCTGGTCATGGGAGACCCTACCTAAAGAGAGTCAATTCGGCTTCAGTTCTGGTTTTTTCTAATAGTGACGTTTGCTTTCTGATCAATAATTCCCGTGCTTTCCTTACTACTACACTACCTTTACCCTCGAGACAGAAAGTGCTGCCTACCAAAATCCCAGGAATTATATAAAAGTTGCCCTGGGGCGACGGGGCAAAGATCCCTGGTTCCGCGCGGGAGGCGGAGCTACCAATCCACCCACCTGAGTAAGTACCTGACACCATACGACAATAGATATAACATTATGAATAATAGGGTTGATAAGGTAGAGAACTCGCAGGTGAAGTAATAAAGTATTAACGGTACAGATATTGGAGAAATCTATGATACTATTCAATAGTCCTGATTCCTGACTCCTGAGGTAATTCTGAGAGCAAGTAAGAGAGCGGCAGAGCCAAGGATCAATACAGGAATTAGCGAGGGAAGCAGGAAGAGAATAGTCAATACTCGATAGAGTCTATTATCGTAGATTTCTTCATTCTCTTATTTCTCTTCAACAAGTCAAGCAGTCAAGCGCAATAATATCTCTTCAACGAAGCCTCAGCCACATCCGGGCGTCTTACTCGCATCGACTAGTGCTAGATCTGACTGGCGGATCTATGTATCTTCAACGCAGGTACCCATATTTGACGCTACGTGGCTCTCTCCTTTTTCGTTACATTCTTTTTGAAGCACCTGTGACCTGACAGTAAGGTCTACTAATAATCAGGAGAATTAAAATTGAGCGTGACTTTGCTTTTATAAAGGTGTGTCATGTTTAGAGTTGGTACTCCGTTCCCTGCAGACACTGCCCTGTGTCTCTCCCATGACCTGCCCCAATCAGGACAGGGTACTAGAATGGGGCCAAAGACAAAATCCACAGCAGTACAGTGGACCTTAGTGTATTCATCACTTTTGTCATGATATATCCCTGCTGTCCTTGATCGTCCTTATTATTACCAGGTATATCTGATGTCAGTATAACCAATATCTTACCTGCAGGGGCTACCTTTATCATGCACTGCCGAAACAAGCGCTGCGTACAGCAGGGTGAGCCACGTAGCACCGACTATGGGTACCTGCGTTGAGATAGACCCGCCAGTCAGATTCCAGCAATGCAAGTCGTGTTACAGCACACCATCATTATATCTATCTGTCTAATAGTGGTATGGTTGGAATAAGATAAGCCATGACATGATAGAAAATAAGCTTCTAAAGTACCTCCGGTAGGTTCACTGTACAGTACTTTTGTGACCCATGGGCCGCCCCAGGCTCCCTCCCGTAATCCACAGCCCCATTCTGTGCCTTGCGGGCATACCTAGGTAGAGTCAGGAGCTGAGTTCTTTGCCCAGGGCACTATTCCCAATAGGCAGCACTTTTGAGGTACCAGAGTTGTGCACAGCCAGTTACCTATGAGTCATGGTTATAGGACCTTGGTTGCTTGACTCATCAGCTCCTAGACTCCTCATTACAAGAACCAGGTAAATCCAGACTCCAGCTCTATCTTATATATCACTAACAGCGTCTTTTACAGGTGTGCATAAAGGTAAAGCTGTTCACTAGAATGCGTATTACTGCCTCGACAAACCCTAGCCAAGATGCACTAATCTAGGCGCTTTCGTATTCATCTGAGGTACCTGTTGTTTTCAATGTATTGCAGTGCACAGATCTGCTTCAAAACTCAAGTAGTTGGCTGTTGCAGCGGTTGTGAGGCTTCTATGTAATGCGCGCTACTGGTGGATCACCATATCAATACTCCGTAAAGTGGGGTCGATCCGGGGCTTGTTTATATATCTGTGCTCAACTACTTCAGATCCTGGGATGGCCCGATTCAATTTTACCCACACGCTAGGCCACTTAGTGGCGGGGCCTAATATGTGTAGATCTCGTCCAACGGGATTCTATTCGGCAGCAATAATCCAAGTACAACTCAGATGAAGGCCGATCATTCAGCTCGCGCTAAGTCCTGTGGAAGGAGGAGGATCCGGAGGAGAGCATCCACGACGATGGTTCGGGTCCAGGGCCGCTTCGTAGGGATAGTTAGAGGGATTAGTATCCTATGCCTCATTGGTTTATCCCTTTTATGAACTGTTGATATCATGTTGATATTCCTTAACGGAAAAACGTGTGTTCTGCATTCATACGAAATCGCCTCAGGCTGCCACGGGATCGTCATAAGGTAGGTCGAACCGTTCCATCCAGTACATTCCTATGTATGAAGGCCGAGGACGTCCGTATTCGCGTTATGTGAGAAGCCCAACAAGGGAAAACCATTACTTTCTATCATGCAGCGCCGATGCTATCATCTGGGTTGAAACGATAGCTCCTGACCGTAGCTATCAAGCACTACCGATCCTCGCGCGCCAGATTACGGAACGGATTCGCCTCATCCTGCTCTTCCTCCTCCGCCGAAGGAATCGTCCTTTTGACCCGGCACGGAGTCCCCACTGCCACAGAGAAGGGCGGAATATCCTTGGTGACGATGGAGCCCGCGCCAATCGTCGAACCCTGTCCGATTCTGACACCAGGCAGAATGACGACATTCGCGCCAATCCAGCAGTCATCCTCGATGAAGACGGGATGGCCGAATTCCACAAACTTCCGCCGCGACAGGATACTCGTGTCGTGGCCGGCGGTGATGATGCTGACGTTCGTTCCTATCTGGACCCGGTCACCAATGACGATGAGGCTGGTGTCCAGCACAGTGAGACTGATCTGTCAGTCAGTCCAGCGTATGCAACCAGTACGAATCGCAGGACATGGAGACAACGTACTTCCAATTGACGAAACAATCTCTGCCAATACTGATGTTACATCCGTAGTCCGGCATGAACGGCGGCTCGATAAACGTTCCGTCACCCACCCTGCCGACCAGGCGCCGGAGCAGCTCAAGCCTCTTCTCGGCGATCTGATCGTAGGGCACTGTTTTCGTGTCCAGACTGTTGTAGTCGGCTGCTAGCCCGCGACACCGATGCCGCGCCTCAAGTAGTTTGGGGGTGTTGGGACTGTACATCATGCCGGAGACCATGCGCTCGTATTCCTCGCACATGGGAACATCTTTGAGTTCACGCGCGAGAGCGATGATCTCAGGGCGCTTTTCAGTGGCTGCCATTGTCGTGCAGGTGTCTTGCAGGTTTGGTTTGCGGTGGTTTTATGATGTATGAGGTGGGCGCTGGTTTATATAACTAAGGTGGAGACGGTGGCTTCTGAAGACAACTAGCTAGCTTAATTATTTGAAAGTCGTGATCCACACTGATTAATATGGTGCTGTTGTACAGTGTGAATGGTGCGATTGTCCGATGATTCGCCGGTATCAAATACGCTGGCAGTGATGATTTGTGGAAGACAGTGCGGGTCTGTGCTGGGTAAATTGCCTTTTAGAGTAATATCTTCCACTACTAGGATATAGACAGGCTCCTACTCATACACACATATATGTTGATATATATATATATATATACGTCTCTCCTTGTCCCTTTCTCTCTTATTGAGTATTCGGGCTGATGACTTAATATAACTATCATTTGAATTATGCATATCATATAGTAGAGAGATATTGGGGCTAGGCTGAACTCCTGTAGATTCCCTCATAGATTCCCTCGTAGAACCCCGCATATATGCCCCCATTTCGGCTCCAGCCGAAATCAGTGAGTGCCGCTACGTTGATTCTCTGTCATTCCATCTCGGCCGGGGCCGAAATCACTGGTTCCTATATCAATAAACCACATGGCGGCACAGCGATCTTAGGAACCAAACAGCAAGGTAATGTGCTCTAGGCCCAGCCTGAAAAAGCCTTTTCCAGACGCAACCTAACAGTCATCTAGGTGAGGGCGTTAACCTGAAGCGAAAGGCAAAGTTGTCAGATGGGGAATCAAAGGCTAAAAAGGTAAAGGACGATCACAATGGCACAGGACTGAGCACCCAAGGAGAGGATTCTCACCCAGATCAGAGCCTTTACACAATTTTGTTCTTCTACTTTCGACACCGCATGACCCAAGCAAAGATGCTGCGCCATGGTCAGCAAGAGAGCCTCTACCACCTCAATCTCATTATGATCTACATGGTCATTATCCATTCATTTACTTGGTCTTGTCGTTGCCACTTACAGCAGGTTGTATGGCCACCGCTCATGGTAATTCCCTTGGAAGAAACTACTTTGGCGTCGCTGACTGCTCAATGGCCCTGTCTGGTCCTATGAAATCAGTTACAATTATTCTGAATACTACCAATAAGACCTAAAATACGGGAAACAAACACAGCATCTATTAATAATAAGGATTAGCAAACATAATAAGGCGCTTAGCCTTACCTCCTGTTTTTGGCTTTCGAAAAGTGCAATTTGCCTTAGCAATTCATATAACAGCCTTTACTCAACCCCGCCGGTAAGAAAATAAAGACATGAGTCAAAACAGGATCCTGGAAGAAAGAAGCAATGGCTACTCAAGCCAAATGATCATTTTCAGAGATGCCGCCAAGGCAATCAAGGCCGCGTTGCTGACTCCAACGACCTGTGTATGCGGACCAGGGACACGAAATGCACCCCTTCCCCGTCCAGCCTGAGAGACTGCGCCTCTAATCACGTCCGTATCCCAGCAAGGAGGAACTCGCTCTTGTACATTGGATAATGTACGCCCCGACCAATAAGTGGTGATGGTTGTCCAATCATCTTGGCTCGGTTCCCAAACATTCAAAGTCCGGAAATCAGGGTTCTGGAAGACCATCAGAGCTCCTTGGACACCCGCGTACTTTAAAGCCAGCTCAAGAGATGGCGTTGTGTATATTCCAGGCCCAAATTCGTTGTCTGCGTGGTTTGAATTTACTGTGGGCAGAAACCAAGCCATTGCGGAATGTAGAGCCAATCTGGAAAGGCCTCGGAAGAGTAAATTGCCCCCAAAGAGCCAGTGAAGTCGCGCTCGATATCCTGACAGGAGAGTTTCAAGCGCGCCTTAAGGGGGACGCTCACAGAAAGAACTTGTGGCGGGAAGCTTTGCTGGCGACAGAAAGGGAAGAGATCTCTGAGGCTGTAGGATGCGATGGAACCAGTGACAGATGATGGAATAGTATTATGTCTCAGAGGGAAAGCGACCAAGGAAAACTCAGGAGGAGGGTAGCAGTAGTTTCTGTAGATGGCGCCAGGGATTTTTCCGTTCTCGGAGAGCGTGGGCAGCATCGATTGAATAGAGGCATTGACGGGAATGCAGATAACCTCGTCGCGTATGGTATAGTCCGGGCTGTCAATCGCGTTGACCAGGTCATCTAGTTTTGCTAACCAGAACAGGCTTGACATTGGCCCAACCAGCCTGATCGTATTTTCTCCCGCGGGATCGATCCATTCTGCGATGTCGTCTGGAAGCGGACCGGGGTAGCCGTCCTCGTCTGTCCAAACGGGACGAAAACCATTAGCGACGAGGTCTTGAGGGTCTCTTTCAATGTCTGCAAAGGACCACCCAAGTTCCTCTTTGGGACTCTCGGGGGAAACCATTTTGAGCTCGGTGGAGGGTAGCCCGGGAATGTCGACTGGTGTTTGGATCGATGAATCACTTGACGCAGCAGTGCTTCTTGCGAGGCTGGGTGGGGAGACGAGGGGAGTCCGCTTCCGCTTCGGCATGATCTTTCGTAGTAATGACTTAATCAAAGCGTAGGTAGTAGCTGAGAAATTCTTTTCTCTTTGTGATCTTCTTGGAAGAGGTACAGAAGGGCTAGGTTAACCTCGAGCGCTGTGTTTACCTCGATTGTTGCCCTCTATTCAGCTTGTAAATCTTTAAATGGGAAGGCACAATGTTTACCTCGAATGTTGCCCTCTATTCAGCTTGTAGTCTTTAAAAGAAAGGCGCAATGCATTCACACAATACGTGCACCTTACAAAGAGTACAACCACAAACGCAATATGGCATAGAAATAAAATAGGAGAGTCAACATACTCAGCCATGCCAAAGTGTAGCTTCTCGGTCAAGGTTGGACTGTTGGTGATACTAGCAAAGATCTGATCAACATCAAACCAATATTGGGGAGATGAACTTATAGTAGAGGAATTCTCTGACCGTGCAGTGTTCTGCAGGTGCTGTTGTATCTGAACCTCACGATGACAGAGTGGTAACATAGGGATCTGATCTCGCAAGTGTTGTTTAAGTGTATCAAGTTTTTGTGGCAGAATATTGACCTCAGGTGTATCAAGCAAACAGAGCACTTCGCGTAGCTGACTATGGCTATTCTGAGATATGTTTGCACTCTCCAGTCAAAGCGCAAGTGTCAAGAGAAACGATGTAAGCTGCAAGTATATCAATATACATGGTTAGTCTGGGAAAGCTTTTTCCATAGTCATCTAACGTACTCTTCTTTGAAGCAATAGGGTTGATGGTATTTTCTGGTGACAATTTCGAATACTGTCTGGTACTCTTGGGTTTGGACATGGCCGTGGTCGGGGTAGTGAGCCTAGATAGGGATTAGAAAAACATGATATTATATACTGTGTGATACATACTGGATACTGAAGCACTGTATTCTATATTTGTGGATATGGATCCTCTAGAGAGGTACATACAAGCACTCAAGGCTGCTCTACTACTGCTGCCATCATGGTTAAATTGTACATTGGAATGTATTGTGTATTTCTGGCAAGACAAGTAAGATAAGCTGATCACTCGCTATACTTAATCTCAGAGCTATACTTGTCATAGTAGTGCATCCCAATATCCATTCCATATGGCCTTAGTCACCGGCCCAACCTCTGCCCCATTCAGTGGCCTACCATCCAACCAAGTGATGGGCATGGTCCCTCCCGCCGTCGTACACATAAAGACCTCATCGCAGTTATACGCCAATTCAACCGGAACCATGTCAAGCCGCACTTAAATCCCCTTCGCTTCAGCAACCTCCATCACACGCGGCGTGTTACGATCACCTCGACGAAGGCATTGGATGCCGCTTTTCACTACTATCTCCACCAGGATCTGCTTGGAACTGCTCGCGGGGGCAAGGGGAGCTTGAGCCGGAGATTCGCACGGCTGGTTTCTAGACGGGTGAGGTGGTCGTCTAGTCGGAAAAAGCGCCCATCCCAGACGCAGGAGACGTCGTAGGTGAGGTCGCTGTGCAGGAAGCCTTGGTCTAGTAAGGGGATGCGAGCGTCAGCTATAGGGACGAGCTCCCCTTCTACCCATGCGATTCCCTGGCTGTAGGGTTTGTTGCTGGCTTTAGGACAGCCTGTCGTGCGGCGTAGCCGGCAAACACTTTGTCCATGGATGTCATCGTGATTATTTATGGCTGTTGGATCGTTTCTTGTCTTAGACGAATAGGTCGAACCTAACGCGCTCTATAGGACTCAGAGGATGAATGTGACAGTCTAGGGACATAATAACACGTGAGGAGTATTGATTGACTCTTGCAAAAGTGTACAAGTCACTTCAGTGCGTAATTGCTGGATCGGGATTCTCGAGTCTCGCCGTAGTGTTGAAGGATCATCAATCTCTCGTCAAACGGGCTGATATGCACCTCTTTGCCAGGTATTTCAAAGGGTGCTGAAGATGGAGAAGATGCTAAAGATATCATCCATGTTTATAGTCACTAGGTAAGGCAGACATCATCCTTACCATGAACCATATTCCGATCTCACTGGTGAGCTGGTGCTGCCCTCTTCCGCCTGAGAAGCCTGCATAAAATACATTCGAATCAAAAAAGCATATGCACCTGGCAATTAAGGCATTGAATACGTCTCTCATCGAATCAGTGCAAACTACATGCATCCAGTGTCTTGTTTCATCCTAAAAGAGGTACCAAGAGTGCTGCAACAGCATAATGGTTTATGGACCTTCTCTAGCCCCGTCCATGGTTCAACGGACACAGCATCTGTCTCCCTCCCTTGCAAGCACAGTTTTCGACACCAATTCACAAACTTGCCGCTTTGTCTTGCAGGACGCTGACGTAGAGTGTTGACGGGTTAAATCTCAAACCTCATGAGCTGCTTATCCATCAAGATCTGTCAGTGGAAAGTGGAAATTGTCATTAAGAATAATGCTTATATAGAGCAGACGAAGCTGCCAGGACTGCGTATACTGCAAATAGACTTTTCAGTCTTGCGATAGCTGAGAATGCTTAGTGCGGTGCAGCCTGGGCAAACAGGCAACTCATCAGAAATCCTTGACCAGTTTCTGGGTCCCATGAGATTGAGTGCGCGAAGGGACCGGATCCTCGATTTTCAAAGAGGAATCGGGCGTCTTCTTATGTGAATGGAGAACCTTTTCATATACTGCTTGTTCTTCCTCCTTCAACCCTGATCCCGACGGGTCTCTCCGTATCAGAAAATGCTCTACCCTAGCCTGGGATGATCCCATTTGCTTCACGGTAGCCTCCCTCCGTCCGGTAAGTAAACGCATCGACTCCTCGTTGATCTCCCGAAGCCTTTCCTCATACCCGGTACTCAGCTGGCCAATCCAGGAGGCTTGGACGGCGCTTCCGAAAAGGACCAGAAGAAAGATGAACGTCACAAAGGTCCGATGGTCGACAATCTGTTGCTGTTTCGGCTGATGGCGGTTATGCCATTTCTCCCAGTCTTCCCATGTCGCATTGGCGTATATAGGGTGGTAGTCACCTGACGCTGTTCTGGACCAAGAGGACTGGGTCAGGGGACCTCGTGAGGGATGGAGACTCCAGCCAGTACCGAATTGATCGTAGGCTGCCCGCTTTGTTGGATCCGACAAGATCTCATGAGCTGCTACGACAAGATGATATCGCTGAAGTCGCACCTCAGGTGTGAGGTGTCTACAGAGCGGATGATCATTGCACGGTCGGTCCGGGTGGTAAATCTTCACCAAGTCGTAGAAGCGGCTCTTTGAATATGGAGCGCCTCGGTCCTGTTTGAACACGTCATAGGGCGTGAAACACGACGAGGTTGGCCATGAAAGATCCTTATCATAAATATCGTGTGCAGTTGCGTATAATCTGTAGGATGGAAAGCACCATGGTCGGCGTTTGGCCGAGCGTGAGGCGGGTGGCGGGGAGGAAGAGGACGAAGGAATCAGCAGTTGGAGACCACCGTAGCAAAGGGCATTAGGTTTCTTGAGCATGGCGGCCGCATGGTTTCAAGGGAGAGAACACGACATGCTCCTCCGTATAGATAGATAATGATGCAGTGAGATGAAACCTGTTCAAGACCTCTGTGGGTTTGTGATCGAATGAAGATGCTCACTGTATCTTCCCCAATCAACCGACAAAGGGTCACGTGCAGGGATCCATCTTCTTTACCTTCCTCGTCTGTCGGGTAGAACAACTCTTCTGGATTGCTCTATCGAATGATCCCTAGCTTCGACAGTCCAACTGGTCATGGCTGAATCACGAGATGACTACCGTGAGAAAAGACGGCGCCGGTCGCCTTCTGAATCCTCCCTTTCAGCCAGAGACAATGATAGACGACGGCACACCCGAGAACGACGCCGCGATGATGATCGAAGTTCTCGAAGAGATAGCTCCCGAAGACGGCCCTCGCGCAGCCCGACGGGGAGAGATGCACGCCAGCTAGATAACCGTGATCGACGAGACCGCAGGGAAAGACGAGAAGATTCGGATGATCACCGCAGAAGACGAAGGCATCCATCTGAAGAACGTGGTCACCGCCGTCACCGCGACCGGGAATCGAACGACGATCGAGGGAGATCTTCCCGAAAATATCGAAGTCGATCCCGTTCTCGCTCGCCGGCTGGACACACACAAAGCCCAGAGTCGCGGGCTCTTCCCCGATCCAAGGCTCCCTTACCTTCTCAGAACGACGCATATTCAACATCGGAGGTTGCGCGGAGAGGGGAATCATCGGCACCGCCGCCAGAAAAGGAGAAACCGAATTTTGGAAACACCGGTCGCTTAGCTGCTGAAACCAATACTGTCAATGTCAGTGGAGGTACGGTCGTCCTCAAGTACCATGAGCCGCCGGAAGCGCGCAAGCCTCCTGCGAAGGAACGTTGGCGACTCTACGTGTTTAAAGGGAAGATTTACTTGAGGTAGTTGAGCTGGCTGAGCGCAGCTGTTGGTTGATCGGAAGGGAGCGCCTTGTGGCAGATTTCCCGCTGGATCACCCTAGCTGCTCCAAGCAGCACGCGGCCATTCAATTCCGATACGTCGAGAAGAGGAACGAATTCGGAGATCGAATTGGAAAGGTCAAACCCTACATTATTGACCTCGAAAGCGCCAATGGCTCCCATGTGAATGGAGATACGATTCCAGCCGGACGCTATGTTGAGTTGCGGGACAAGGATGTTCTCAAGTTTGGCTTGAGCTCGAGAGAATATGTTCTCATGCTACCTCAGCCAGATTGATCGACAGTCCGATGTGATGTTATTTCATTCAAGGTTCAATTTACGAGGTTCGAACCCGTAAGGGAAGATCTACGCGCAATGACTTGAGGGTCGAGGCTCTGCAGGGAATATGGATCATAACGTGGTCATTGTGCTTTGTCATGGAATATGCTATTAAACATCATGAGATCGGTGAAAAAGGAAACCATCCACGCGTCAGTTAATCATCAACCTGGCCCTTGGCTTCTATCATCCTTCATTTCGCCGAGGCAATCTCAACTGTGCGCCTCACACGTTACCCATCTCCTTTGCCTTGCCCTTGGCCTCACCATATACCTCCTTAGCTTTACCCTTGACCTCGCCAAGAGTCTCCTCGGCCTTACCCTTGGTCTCGCCTGCTTTTTCCGAGGCCTCGCCCTTCAGATCCTCCTTCATTCCCCCGCCTTGTACTTGGCTTCCTCAGTTGAGCTTCCCACCGTCTGCTTGACCTTCTCTGTCGCTTGTTCTGCATCCCATCAGCATACATCATGGTCCCTTACGAGTGACAAACACATACCACCCTTGTCAATACCCTTCACGAGATTATCGGAGATAACTCTGTCCGCCTTCTTCAATGTTTCCTTGGTTGCCTCAACAGGGCCCTTCTCGTTCTTGGGTGTCGAAGAGATGAATCTGCTGCCGGCAGCAGTGAAGGCAGGAGTGGTCGTGCGAACAGCAGCGACCCGAGCCGTCAGGGAAGCGAAGCGTGCGAGAGAAGACATATTGTATTGTAGCGATAGTTGTATAGTAGATTAGATTAGAAGGTGGTTTGATAGGCGGCAATTAAGGTGATATTGATGGATTGAATGTTTCTGAGCGTAGAAGGACCAGTTAGAATGTGATGAAGAACTTTTGCCTCCTGGCTTATATACCCTTTTCCGGGCCATCTTGGAGGTTGAACGACGTCATCATGGACAGCTGTTGAGCTTCACTTTCCATTACGTCGATACACCATCAGTTGCTTGCCGGATCCGGTTTAGCGGGGCTGGATCAAGGCATCTCCAGACCTATCATGTTTATAAGTGCCTGAGGCATCCATAATTATCATATGTTCTCCAACTGACCATAATAGATATTTAATGATAGAATGTGCGACATTCAAGATCACTCTTAAGTAGTACGAATGATCATGCCAGACGTCCCACCAAAGATGATGGCTTTGAATAACGGGTTCTCTATTTCACTCTGCAAAACATGGACAAGGAAAGCGTCAAATTTTGCTCAATGATATCTCTCATATCTTGACTGAATCTTCATCTGCCATGGATAACGTGAGAACTTTGCCAATAACGGATAAGCCTTGGTAGTGTGAAATGTATTACTCAAGATGGAGGCATGGCGTCTTCTCATTTAGCTTTTCAACAGACTTCTTGCCGTCCGCCGGCTGCTGCTCGGTCTCGAGCTAGAACTGACAGATCATGTCCAGGCCAGGCCTCAGCCAGCGAGTCTCCAAGGTTGCATCTTCTCCCAGAAGCCATCCAACAGCATGTTTTCGTGGAGGGAATTAACCCCAGCGAACAGAAGGGGAAACTGGACGATTGAGAAGGTGAAAGGCAAGAAAGCCAAGCGAAGAGGGAAAGCTTTCGGTTACTTGAAGATAGGGGGAGCTGGACTTTTTAAGTGCCCAGGAGCCTCCTTGTGTGTGTAGACTGTCGCTTAAGGGGATTATTCACGATTCTGATATCTCAGAAGCATGTAACAACGATCAAACTCGCTTCCTTCATAGATGCAGTATGGCGCAATTATTCCCCCAACTCACCATGTATGATCTTCTCCAGTACATCTGAGCAATAAAAGTACGGCTGCATCTATCACGTTTGGCTATCTGCGTCTGTGGGGTATAAGTAAGTAGGAGGATAGACTCAGTAGCATATACAAAATTCTTAACGTGCTAATCATAAAGTGAATCGGAAATCGAGACCATGCAGGGGTATAAGTCACATATATACAAACAGGACGCCGCCATCTTGCAGACTAGACTACAGTTTTGCCCTCTCCGTCACCTGCCGTTGAAGTTCCTTCTCACCTTCCAGCCGCCAGTTCGCCGTCCTGCGCAGTAACCGGTCCACCTCCTCATCACTCAAGGTCACAGCCTTCTCCAGGGGAATCTCTTTCATCGATCGCAGCTTGAACCCGATATACGTCAGCTTCCCCGAACTCCTGACGCAACCCGCCACCGCATCACGGCAGAAGTCTGCCATGCCCTTGAAGAACCGCTGACCCGCCGGCGTACCAATCATAACAAAACCAAAAACATGCGGCATCCCCTCGAACTGTTCCACGACCACAGGCACACCAGCGCGGTACAGCTTGCGCGCGAGAAGCAGATCCTCATCCGTCAGCGCCTCCTCGCCGAGAGAAATGAAGATAGGCGGGGCGTCCGTCCAGATCTCACCGGGGGAGGCGAGTGGAGAGACGAGCGGGTGCAGGATGGCGTTGGCGTTGACGAAGAAGTCGCCGCGGGGAGGACTGCAGGGCCAGCTTTCGTCTTCGGGGATGGGGAGCGGGACGTACGTATTGTCTGGCGTCTGGCTGGGTGGGTCGAGGTAGTCGTAGAGCGCGTTGTGGAAAACGGACGGCATGGACCTTGTGATGTCGCACCAGGGAGAGCTTGTCGCGACGCCTGCAGGGAGCTCGATGCGGACGTCCTGGCCGTGGAAGCGTACGGTGGGGGAGATTCGCCGAAGCGTCATTAGGGTCTGAAGTAGAGCTAGCGATAGGTTGCCTCCAGCGGAATCACCAGCCAGGATGATCTTGTTGGCTGGCACGGGGTCATGCAGCGACCCTGGGGGCGGAGCGAGGAGGGAGAGATACGCGACGAAGGCGTCAACCAGCGCCGCCGGGAATGGATGCTGGGGCGCCAGGCGGTATCGTACCGAGAGAGCAGGAGCCCCTGTATGCTTGGAGAGCTGAGATACCGGAACACGATGTGTACAGGGATCCATGAGGCTGCCAAAACGATCAGTATGGACTCCTTTTCTTGACACGAGGCCCGCAACTTACAAATAAGCTCCTCCGTGGAAGTACAAAATGACCATATCCGCATCGGAGTCACTGCGCAACTTCTTGTACTTCTCCTCTTCCGAGATATCAGGCTGTGGCGTGTTCTTGTCCACGCCCTTGCGATACCCAGTCCATTCGGCCTCGACGGGTGCGACTCCGGGAATATCATACGTCTCACCCCCGGACTTCAACTCCTCAATCGCTTTGATGACTGCATCCTGGACATCATTCTCTGGCTGAGGTAGCGTGACCTTGGACACCCACATGGGACCCTTGATGCCCGGGTCGCGCATACTGCCCCTTTGCTGCTTGCTGACGGGAAGCTTGAAGTTGATAAACGAGCGGATGATGGCGACAGTCAACTCGGTGCGAAGATCTTGTTTCCCAGAGCCTGGGGACATATGGACTGCATGTAGAAGAACCGTCTTCAAAACGAGTGGAATCCTCACCAGGATCTCCTTCAAAAGAGTGACCGAGTGATCGAGGTGGCTCATCGCGACTGGTCCACTATGGCGCTAACTCTGACAAACAATCGCTGGGAACTTTAAGCACAAACGAGAGCAATGTGTTGCTTGAATAATGAATGGAAACGCCTATTTTCATTTACAGGAAAAGGATGAGCGCGAAGCGAAATGATGCAGGCCTGCTAGGGCCGATCCAAGAAAATGCAGGCATGCGGGGGTCACTAGAATGCCTCGGCTCGCCTGTTTGATGAACAGTGGAGACTAGACGCCATCATTGCGCATAGCTTTTTTGTGGTTATTGGGCACGGAAATTGCCATTTGATCCATGGAGTCCCTTAGTTGTCTGCAGTATGGACACCCAAGATATATGATATAGTGGATGGTGAGCTTGAACGTGCCTAACACGATCCTGAGCCAGCCTTAAACCACTGGCGTTCTGGAGCATTTCATCATCCCCGCCTAGGCCAGCCTAATACCCCATAAAAGATGTAGTATAAATGTTTGTCAAACAAGCACAATCATAGATGGTATTAAAATAGCCGAAGGACCAAGCAAGATGTCCAGGTACCAAATCTCAACGCCGTTCGCCAACCGTTGTACCATGGTACAAGCCGACCATCAACTCCAGGAAACCATATAAAATCAAATGAATGAAAAGAAGAAGAACCCCGACTCCAGGCCATGCATTGGTTACAATAATTCGTCGTCATCGATCGAGTCATCGTCCCACACGTCTTGTGGCAACTCTTCCTCCAGTCTCAAGTCCGGGACAGCCAGGGGCGTGTAAACGGCTTCTGGGGTGTGTCTGGGCTCCTTGGCCGGCCATTGCCTGGCAAAGAACCCCGGAGTGGTTGTTGCGGTGACAGGCGAATGAGTGATCCGCGTGCCGTAGATACGGACTTCGCCAGAAAGGTTGAGTGTCCGCGGTGGCACGTCGACATAACCGTCCCAGAGACCCAGGAGCTGCGCTAGGAGTCTGATAAATGCGATTCCCAGTGTCGCAACTGGTGCCAGAGCAGAAGAGAGATGGGACCATCGCCATAGCATGGTCGGAAGCACAAACGGGAACCGTGGCGCATCAGGACGCAAACAGTTTCCTTCGCAGACGGGAGCAACAGTGGGATGGCAGTAGTAGTCGCACATGGCCGATTCAGAAACGAACCACAGGAGGGAAAGCAGAAGGCCCCAGCCTAGGCGCGTAATGCGGATACGCCGCGAAATTGGATCGCGCTTCCACAAAAGAGGGAGTGGAATGGAAGCATAGATGCGGCCGTCATTTTCTGCGCCGCAAGTCTCGCAAGTCTTTCCTGCAGGGGTGCCCTTCAACTGCGTCTGAGCTTGGGAAGATGTCGGACGCGGAGCGTCCTCGGGTATCTTGGGCATATTCTGCGTCATCTGTTCCTCAACGCCATCAATCTTCTTCCTCAAAGTGTCCTGGTTCTCTTCCAGCGACAGCAGTTTCTCGCTTATCTGGTGATCACCCACGTCCTCGTCACCTTGGCTCCGCTCTAACTTCTCCATTATCGACTTCTCGTAGGCGGCATCCGACTGTGGGTCAGCCTTAGCTTCAGTGGACTGCTCGGCCAGCAGTTCTTGGAGGCTTTCAATCGTATCATCACCCACATCGAGGGTTTCTTTGTCAGCCTTGTGTTCCTGTATGACCGACTCGAGGGCACTCTTGGGAAGATCGGGTTTGATGAGTGGCGGTTTCATCTTCTTCTCTCGTTCCTTGCTCTTCTCTTGTCCCTCCTCCTGTTTTTTCACTTCTTTTCCCTTCTCTTCGTCCTCTTTTCTTGCCTTTCCTTGCTCCTCCTCCATCCTTGCTTTCTCTTGTTCCTTTTCCCACTCTCTCTTCAGCTGCTCTTGTTTGTTCCACTCCGTATCCCGTTCCCTCCCGTGCTCGAGTCCTTTGACCTCGGCCTCTGACTCTTCTTGCACCGGGGGAATAACGGGTTGCAGCTCATTTGGCACAATTTGGGACATAGGACCATTGGTGGACTCCTCTGGAACCTTGGTGGTCCGTTCAGAAATGCGCTCAGTCATAGGAGTGTCTATCCAGGCGCCTGTCACGACAGGGGTTTTGTCATATATGCGACGCTGGCTGCCCTTTGGTGCCTCTGGTGTTCTCAACTTCTGCTGGGTTCGATTCTGGTCAGGACTCTCTCGTCTCGCAAGTCTGCGAATCAAATCGTGCGAGTCGCGCTTCGAGGGACTTGGCTTGGTGAAAGTGGAATTCTTGTAGACGATGACTGGAGTATTGTCGATAGGCTCCGAAGTTCCTCCGATAGTCTTGTCGTCCTTATGTTCCGAGGACAATTTGTTCCTGGCGTCTGATAGAGGGATCCTGCTATACTTGCTTGATGCCGGCTCCAGGGATCGGCCGGGGCTGGTACGGAAGTCGAAATTGAACTTGGTCACTGGCGGCGACACATTGACAGGCGGCTCCGGCCGTTGCTCGGGTTCAGGCTCAGGTTCATCGCGTCGCTTCAATTTCCTGAGCCAGTCGGTATTGCGTTTCGCTCGGCTACCCCAAGTGGAAGGCACATTAAGTACGCGCTGGAAAGTATCATCGTCTCCAGAGACTAGCTGATCCTCCTCCTCACGCCGTTGAAGGTTCTCCGCTGTCAAGGCAATCTTAGTTCCGCCGCGATTCGACAAGACAGGAGAATGGCTGGTCGTGGCTCGTCTCAAGCGCTTCTCATCCTGGAAATGATCGGACAACCTTCGGCGGGGTGACTCGTCTTCAATTTCGGGCAGAAAGCTCGCGTCCGAGGTCGTAAACACATCGTAATCTCGCGCATAATAGCCTGATGACCGTCCAATCTTATCCTCCTGGCCATAGACGTCCTCCGGCTCTAGATCAACCAGGCTGTCCGCGTCGTCTATCTGTCGATATGCCTCTGCAAGCTCGTTCGGCGGATTTGACTCGGGGGACCGGGCATTGTAAATCTGGCGCCGCCTTCCAGGACTTGGCGTCCCTCTCGTATAAGGAACGGATGCCGAAATACCCTCGTTCTCTGCCATCGTTGCGTAGCGCCCCGCTTTTCTGAATGCTCCTGTTAGGGTACTGGTCTCATTGAAATTCGTCCGACGCTGAGAAGTATATTTGTAGGATGGACTGGGAATCCGAGACGCGTCAAAATCCTCAGCTGCTCGAGAATTGCCACGAGCTCGACTGAAAGGTGAGCGCTGCTGTTGTTGCTCGTACATGCGACGCGACGAGGGTAGACGGTCGGTGTTGCGCTCGGGGGTGGGCATGACGACAAACAGAGGGGCCCCTCGAGTGAATGGACAATACTCCCTTCATTCACTATTTCTGCGACAACCCGACGCGTTTCCTTCTTTTCCAAGAACGCGATAGCTGATAAATTGGGAGAAGTAACTCAACAATGCGGGCGAAACTCCAACATCGAGTTCCGTCCTATAGACTCAAAGCGGTTTAGCGCTGCGGAGAAGGAACAACAGCGTCATTCGGCGGAATTTCGATATACGATGATGATATACAAACTACACCAAGCTGCGGTTCTCGCTCCAGAACCGGGCGGTTGCTATTATTTTGCTGCTCTCTAGCTCTATTGGATTTGGAAGATACATGGTATGTATTGTAACATCTCCTCTTTCGTTTCATTGGTGTGCATCGACCTATTACTGACGGACATGTGACCGGGGCAGACATCTTGATCATCACGGTGATCGTGTGCCAGCGCATGGCCTCCTGATGCTCGGCAACTCATGCAAGAATATATGCCAGCTAACAGGGGAACTATCTGGAACGTCTTGCTTATATAGCTGTGAAACCACACATTTGCGACATAACCGCCGAACTCCAACAAGAGCACATCACAATGACCAAGTCTGCACGACGCTCCGGCAAGGGTAAGGCATCAGCATCGCGCTCTGCCTCGTCCTCCGGATCGTCAACTCCCAGCTCGCAAGCAGGCCCTCTGCCACCCTTCTCCAAGGCACCCGCCATCCTCCGGCCCTTCCTCGAGCCCCTCTCACCACAAGAGGTTTATCTGATCCACATCGACACCTCCCCGCCAGACCTCAAGAAACAAACCTTCATCGTACCAGCCATAATCAATGCCGTGATCGTCGCCATTTTCGCCCTCCGCATCTACATGGTGCGCAACACCTACCCCGCCATGATCGCCACGGTCATCGGACTCGCCAGCTGGGCGGGGGTAGACACCTCGCGGCTCTCCTCAGCCGAAACAACAAGCCTCATCCTCCGCCGCACCTTCAGCCTCATGATCGACTACTTCCTCATAACCGTCTTCCTATCCTGGCCGATTCGCTTCATCCGCGGGCCCGTACAATGGCGCCGCAAAATCGGCTTCCAGGGCCGCGAAATCATCGTCCGCCGCAGCCAGCGCACCCTCTCGCAGACCCTGGAGCGAAACCGCTGGATCCGTGACAACGACGAAGCCCGCGACAAGATCGTCGCGGCCGTTACTCCCGACCGCATCCGCAAGACAGGATACCTGCTCGTCGACGCGGACTGGGACCTAGACTACGACGCCATGATCAACGCGCACGAGATGGTCGATCCCGTGCGGAAAGACGGCCGCGTTCCCTTGTCTGAGTTCCGCACAGCGGTGCTGGTCAATACCGATGCGGATGGGTGGCTGATCTGGCGGGTGGAAGACGAGGACACCGCGGAGGCGAGGACGCGGTCTGCGCAGAGCGACCAGATCCTGGCGTTCAAGGACAAATTAACTGCCATGGGCAAGGAGGATCTTTTCTTCAGGTGGGTAGAGCTAGTCCAGTACCAGAGCACGCAGCCGGGCGGCTTCACGCCGGAAAGGCAGCGGTCCGCCATGCTGCAGGCGAAGGAGCTGTTCGAGAAGGAGAACGTCGACTTTGCGCGCTTCTGGCAGGAAGTTGGGGGGATGGAGGGGTTTGCTGATCAGCTCGATTGAGGAGTGAATCAACTCGCTTTCGGGGAAAAGCGCTGTTGACGTTGTACCTTGATACGGGCGGAGTTTTCTATAGAGGTTGAAGTTGAGCATATGGAGCGTATAATCTGATCATCAAATATCCGTAGTTTCTGATCTATGAGTTATTGCGACAGGACAGGCTAAATAACATATAAAAGAAAACAAGTCGTGTTCCAAGCGCATGGGTATCTCTCAAGCATGGCATGATCCGTATTTCATGACGTGTCAAATATCAATCTCTCCGTTTAGAGACATTGTAAATATTGCTCATTTGCTCCCACTTTCCAATCGGTAGTCAAGGTACCAGAGTTTCTCCCACGGTCGATACTTGTTCACCGAACGCCGAGTCGATGCTGACCGCGATGGCGAGGAAGCCTCCGTCTCGCCGGCTAATCGGGAAGACGAACGCTGCAGGCTCGGGGTTGGCTGGCGACCTGCCGGTTCCGTCTCATGCGCACGCCCTGTGCCCTATGACGGTCCGTCAGCTCCAATCCGGGGAGTCACGAAAGCTGAAGAAAATAATAAGAAGAAGGAACGCGTGAATGGCTTCACGGTCCCTGGAGCTGGTCACGGCGAACCTCTTCAGGGGTGGACGCTGTCTCTTGTGCGCTCTGAGAGACAGGGGCATTCGCCTCGGCCGGCCGAGCGAGTTCCGCTGTAGACTCGTTGGCTCGCTGGGAGATGGCGAACGGTCCTTTTTTCGAGCTCGAGCTGTTGCGCCGACTGTCCAGGCTCTTCGTCAGGGTTCTGGCAACGTTTCCTCCATTTGATGTACGCTTCAGTCGAATGCTACCGCGGGCGTCTACGTGCGCCGGCGCAACGGTGCTTTTACCCAGGCCGGGGTTGCAGGGGCGCCGGGCTTCTCTTCATTTGCGTCCAAGAGGTACCAGCGGAGACCGTCAGACAGTTCGAAGGGATTCTCGTCATCGAACGAAGCGGCGTCACTGGTTCCCCCTATGGATCGACGGTCCGGGTGGGCTCCATTCATTGACTTTGAAAGATCCACCACACGCTCTTCGATCTTCGTGATCCGAGCCAGTAGCCAGTCACGGGTCTGCAGTTTATGGGCATCTTGCTCGCGTAGGAAATAGTGCGGTGCTCCAACATTGAATGCCGCCCAGGAGCGGATGGCTTGGTTACGGGTGGGAAGGAACAGAGCAAGATCCCCTTCTTTGAAGGAGCGATACGCAATCTTATCATGCGCCTCGCTCTGCATCCGGTGGTACTTGTCCCGGTATCCTCTTGCCTCTTTCTGCCATTTTCGAGCAAGGAGCTCAATATCTTTCACTCGTTTGACGACCGCATCTCCAAAGACGTCCACGTCAAACTGGTACAGAGACTCCAAAAAGGCCATGTACCGATCCGTCTCCTCTTGGGCAGTCTCTGCTTGCATCCAGTCTATAAGGCTGGGGTCTGGCTTGACAGAGACGACCCCTGACAGGGCAAGACTATCGCCAATACCAGAGGAAGCATTGACTTTCGACGCTCTCTGAACAACTATCTCCCCGTCCTGCCGAATCACAGTGAAGCCCAGTTGCTCGAGCATATGCTCCATCTTCTCGACCTGTTCAAAGAGCTGCTGGGAAAGCTCCTTTGCTCTTGAACCACGAATCTCAATGCGCGTTGTCGCTTGCTGCTCGGATTCCGAAATGGCCTTGACTTTGTTCTTCCATGCGGAAACTTCCTGTTCGGACTGGCGAGCTTGAGCCTCGACCTCAGCTAGTCTTTGAGACAAGCTTCCTAATTTCCTTTCCTCTTCTACTACACGTTGGCGCAAGGCATCAGTACCGACGTCACCATCTGCACGCTGGGACTGCAGAGCATAGAGCTGTGATCTCTCATCATGGAGCTCCGACTGCACTGCGACTAGTTTCTCCTTTTCCTGTGCTAGCTCTCCTCGGACCTGGGCCAGTTCCGACTCGCGCTGCTCCGCGCTCTTCCTGGCGTCTTGAACCTCGGTCTCCAGTTGATTCATCCGCTCTTCGAGAGCTTTGTTCTCGGCTACTGCCTCAGCCATCTTTTCTTCGGCATTCTTAACGTGAATCGAGAGCCCTTCTGAAAGCACCTCAATTGCCTTGATAATACTAGGGATTTCAGCTGGCACAGCGCCCCCAGGGGACAGGTTCGTGAACGCAGCCTGCAAGGTCTGAAGACTCTCTTGCTCTGTCGCTTTGATCTCCGACTGCTGCTTCTCAAGGTCGTTGATCCGCTGCTGGAGGCTCTCTTCCGTCATCTTCTGGGCCTGCATTTGCTCGAGCAGACCGTTCGCTCGGTGTAGCTCTTCCTCTGCGTGAATATGAAGATTTTGCAGTTCGGTCTCGAGTTGACTGATCCGTTCGTCGGCGTCTTGTTTCGCATGGTCGCGGCTGTCTGTAATCCGATCCAGTTCCTCCTCAAGTTCTTCTGTTCGAAGTCTGTATTTTTTTAATTCTCCCTCCAGATAACGCCGCTCTTCGTCGAACTCCCGTTGGCGGGCTTCAAGATTGCCGATGAGATCTTTCTTAGTAGACTGTGCCTCCTGTATCTTATCGGTATTAGACAATCTCTCCGCGTGTGCCTCCTTGTGGAGCCTCTGCACGGTCTCCCGCTCCGCATTCAGCTCTGCCTCCAGTGTGACGATTCGCTGCGCTAGCGTCTTGTCCTCTGAAGACTGGTTGTTAGACATCCTTCGGGACGACACTGATGAACGCCTGGAAAGCGCATCGGGATGGGGCGAAGCTGGAGAGCTAGGAAATTCCAGACTAAAGTTTCCACTGACCGGCCGACTGAGCTGGCTCTGGCGGTGAAGCAGGTCCTCGAGCTTTCGAATCCGGCTTTCCGAACCCTTCAACTTCTCTTCAAGCTTGGACTTTTCATCCCTCAGACTCCGCAGCATATCGTCGCTCCGGAGGAGGAGGGAGCTTCGGCTTAAGTCGAAGATGCTACCCTGCTTGAAAGCCTTTGCCCTGCGGCGCTGGTGGCGAGTAGGCGCATCTAAGTCTTTGTACTGTTGCGTAAGCTCATCGGCGAGACTAGCCATGGCTGGTCGAGATTTGAGATGTTGGATATATGATTCAATATCGTTTCTATTGACCTCGGGCCATTCATAGTCGAGGCCCTGCAGATTGATCTCGACGCCGGGAGTAGTGGTCTCTGTAAGGGAGATGAAGTCGCCCATGCTCTTCAGCCATTTCTTCCGCCGGCGCTGCTCCTCATCTCTGAAGACAGCCATCTCCTCGGCCAGCGTCAGAGAATCGGCTTTCATTTTTTCATTGAACTCGCGACGCCGCACGGACTCCACTAAGATAGAGCCGTAGACCATAGGCATGTGGTAGACAGAGAACACAACATCAAAAGCGTCGCTCTGGACGTTGAGGTTAATGATCTGAGATTGTACGTCCGCGAGGCGTAGCTCAATCGCGGAGATAGTCCGCATATGGTCGAGAGCGACTTTCATTGCAGTATTATGTCGTCTGACAGCTTCTCCAAGCCCGGCATGGATCTCAGCACTAATGTCCAACATTGAAGGGAGAAGATCTTGGGTATGAGTCAGCGCAAGCCTGGAAACATTTGCTAACGTCTTCTGATTGTTCGGCAGAGCTAGAACGTGCTCATAGTCGGAGCTTATTTTCTTCGCGATAGTAATCATCTCCTGCAGTCCGTCGGCGACATCGGCGCCTGACGGCATCGGGCCGTCGATCAAGCGTTGCGTGTCTGCAGTGATGCCCCTGACAGCTTCAGCAACATCATCAATTTGACGGGCAAAGCGCGAAGACTCAGCCGCTGCTTCCGCTCCGGCTTTTTCAACTTCATCTGCATCCACGAAATCCCGAAGCGACCCCGTTGGCCGATCTGCGTGCTCTTTGGGTGTTGATGGACGTCCCAGGAAGGGAAAGACTTTTGGTGCGGGAATGCTTTCGAGTGTCGCGAGCGCGCGCTGCCATCCATCCAGAGCAACTCGCTGCTCTTTCAACAAGTCATTTGCCCAAGTCTGAGCCTCTTGAAACCGATTTTCCAGATTGCCCACATGGGTCTTTAGATTCTCGAGAGCTACGCCCGCCGCCCGATTGATGATGTCCGTCCGCTCGTTGTGTTCGTGGATGATCTTGTCCATAGCTCCACACCTCTCTGCCAGGCCTAAGGCCCATGACCGTCTGGCCATGTAAAGATTCCGCCATGCTTGTACATCGTTCTGGTTGGTCAGGGTATCAGGAGGAGTGTCCGGGGTGAAAGGCTCGGGAGAAGAAAGCTCCGGGAGCTCAACATTCTCGGGTTCGCTAACAAAACGGCGGTCATAAACGAAAATCTCATCCTGTTGAACGAAGAATCAATGAGTAGCTGAAGCTATACGGAGATACTAGAATAGCCAGCACTATCTTATCGTACCTCGGTGGCAAGTGACTGTATCCTGACGTTCTTCCCACGAGCGGTCATCAAGATCTGCCTCTGTGCAGGTATCGAGGTATGACGGGCGATCCATGTTCGTAGTGCATCCGGACTAGGAGAGATAGATAGCGTCAGTAAGCTTTCGCACCGTATCAGACAAGAGGATAAGAAAGGACGAGCTGAAGGAATGCGGTGATGGTATACTAATAAGAGGAAAACATACGAGGCAAATGACACTGGATCAGCCAGTAAATGCTCACCGGTGTGAGCAATGTAGATATTCAAAGACATCCCCTCCTCACCGACTGAGCCCAGATGCTCAGGAGTAGAGATGTGAAGAATGTAGGAGGGGAAGATGATAAGGCGAGGGTCATATCATATAGACGCAAGCCTTCTAGGCCCCCAAGAGAAGCTCCAGCCTAGGCTTTGGTACTAAGGGACCTGTGAGTCCGTGACACAACCCCGGAACCAGGGATTCTCCACCGCAACCCCCGACCGTTGGACTTTGGTTAGTAGCTCCAGTGACCGGAAAGCTTACGAGCTAGCTTCACCTGAGATATCACAAGATGCTTTGGTCGGCCTGCCACGAGGTCTTGCTCCATGTCAACTGCGAGGATTCAGTCTCTGCCTCACCTCAGTCCAGGCGAGGTTTCCTTGCTGGATCTTGCGGCTGATGACCCTCGCGATGTGGTGACCCTGTCCGACAAGGAAGCCTTGATTTTGCAACTCTACAATCAAATCCAGGAACTGGAACTGGAAAAGGCACTTCTCGAACAAGGTACGCGTCAATATGATATTTTTTTGTTTCTCTGATATATCTTTTTTGGGCCCTCCAAATCTGTCAGTCCAGGATACTGATTCTCACTAGAGCTGGAACCGGCTTCTGGGGACAATCCAGATGAGCAACTTGCAATCGCAGAACGTGAGCTTCTCGAGGCAAGGGCCACGTACACGGTCAGGAGAAAGGCCATCAGTACTGTCCTGATGACTGATCCAACATTGAAAGCTGTTCACCTGAAAGCTACAACACCTGCTGAAAGGTTTTACCTCTTTCCAGTTTATACGAGCATTTTAAATCTGCATTTCCCATACTAACCCTTCATAGAGCACTTTTACCCCTGGTCAACCGGCGTGATGTGCTTTCTTTGACACATGAGAATCTGATGAATGCGCACAACGCAACTTTGAGAGAACTATCCAATGTGGAAGTACAAAATCTACAGCTACACCAGAAGAATCAAGAGCTAGTGCGGCAGCTTCTGGAGTCCACAAAGGATGATGATTCATGGAGAGAAACACTTGACGATGACGACCTCAAGGCACAACTTGAGCAACTAGAGGCCGATCGCAAGAAGAACAAATCAAGATGGGAAGTCATGAAAAGCGTTGCAAGTGCTATTGTTGTGGGAAGTGGAGTGAACTGGGCGGAAGACGATGAGCTTACAGCTCTAGTTATTGATGAATTTGATGAGTGAAGGGGGAATAGTCGCCGCAGAAATAACGATTTACCATAATTTAGTTGTACTGACTTCTCCGATCGGCGTACTACAGCATACTTCTTCTCTTTAATCATCTAATGATGGGCTTCTTTTTTTTTATTTTCAATTAGTGGTATATATATATCATCTTGACGCAGTCTAATCGACAGAACGGCAGAGGAAGCTCGCTTAGGTACCTAAAGTGTCGCCCAGACTGCCAGCGCCCACTAGAACAATCTTCAGTCGCGGCGTGACCCACGTGACATCATCCTCCACCCATACTAACAAGAATAATTGTCAGACCATATGATTACTGTCTTAGTGTCATAAATAATAATAATATTAATAGATAACTTGGCTCTGAATCCCTGGAATCATGGAGAAAAATCCGAATACAGATGGATGGAAATTAGAACCTGATAAGGTGGGCGCCAATTGAGGGATGCGTCTAAGGATGTTATGCATTAATCAGCAACTCGCCGGTATGGGACATAACTGAGCCTGGGATAGATGAGTACCGTAGCATTATTCTTTGGTAAAAAATGACAATCAGTGTTTCCACCTGGAAGTTGAAAGAACCTCTCTAGGTACTGATACGGAGTGCTAGACTGAGTGTTGACACACTCTATGACGACTGTCCCAATAGTATGGAGTACGTACCAGTGATACCACACCATAAAATTGGGTTTACGGGGAGTAAGGTCCTCCTCCGTAGTAGTCTCTCCTGCAGTACGGTTATTTTTGGTTTTGCCCATAATCTTCAAGACGAGGTGGCATTTAGCTTGAATTAGTTATGCAATGCCTGCAGACAAGCAGTTTTACCCACACAGCACTCCGTACGGGAAGTAAGCACAGGATGTGGAGGAATACCAGGGTGAATATGACACTTCCTCGCCCAGCTATTCAACATCATTAGTTTATGAGTGCTTGTGACCTTGACTGTTGTCTCTCAGTGTTGAATAATTCAGTAACCCTTGCCTTTAAAATCTTTAAGAGTAGACTAACATTCATCTATGAAGACTGGATCGTTCTATATGCATCAGCAAACATACGGTGAGCAGAGTGTAGGATACATATACAATGGACGTGGCTGTATGATTTAGCGATCACTACCAGGGCACTGAAGTCCTCTGTACCTGCTACACACTTATGTGATCCGTTTGATACTAAGGCAAGGCGTTATTACCTTCTGTGGCTGACTAGTCTAGTACTTTGGCAACACTCCCTCAGACCGAAGTCTGCGACTCAACGATTCCAAGTAGATAGTGTAGACTATTTAGATTGTGCAGCACATCTGAGTCCTGAGTACTTGCGTCTTGCGGAATAATCCACATTCAAGTCTACCATAATTACACCTTTGGTACGTGTAGCATGAATTGGCAAAGCATTTAATGCGTATCCGTGGTAACCCGAGCTGATGAGTAGAGAGTCAAGCCGTAATTATCACGGAAAGGTCTGATATAAAGTAGGGGGAAACTCAAGATGAAGCAAACGCAGCTACATTGAGATTTAGGGATACGACCCGCGGCAATAATGAAAGAACCTTATGAACTATGTGGGCACAGCTAGCTGACGAGTGCAGAACTCATGCTATTTTGGTCGATATGTTGTAACTGGAGAAGGAAGAGCCGACGACCTCTACTCCGTACCAGGTAAACAGTTCTCTAAACAACTGACTGTTGAAATACATATCCCTTCATTCAAGAGATAATTAAGGATGGACAAACAATCCAATCGAGAGCGATAATGGTAGGGCATTGATGGGTTTGCGCCGAGGCATGGGCTGTGTGTGTACATAGAAGGGAAAGGCAGTGGGAATTATGCATTGAAAGAGTCCGCGGTGTTTGATCCAGAGCCAGCTATCAAGTTCACAACAAAGAATCTTATTTTCCATTTTCCATTTTTCTTTTTTAACCGAGATTATTGATACGTATCTCGATGATCAATGGACGTATGAAAATTGATCGGCTGTCAATAATTATTACTACAGTTGATTATCTGTGTGCTACTTTGTCCTCCGTACCATTACTGGGTGGCTTAGGTATGTGTGATTAATCCACAGTATGGAGAAAGTACTGCTAGTAAAGTGGTACCAGCTAGTAGGAAAGGACGGTGGATGTGGATGAGGTGAGGCGTAAGGTGACTGTATGGTATTCGTAATACACTGGATGACGATACCTCGCCATCAGCGCGATGCGCAACCACGTATGCTTCTGGTTTGACAAAAGGCAACATTCATTGCGAAGAAAGTCAAGATATACAGAATCGACGAATGAATCTTGTTGGAATAAAGAGAGTCGTTACCTTTGCAGTTTATATCCTTACAAAAATATGGAGTGATAGGGCCATGAACAGCTAACGGTCGCAGGAAATGGAAGCCTGAGCAATGCTGTACATGACATGTATGGAACGATACCACTCATTTTCTCAGCGCAGAGCCAGCCAGTTAGGTAACTTTTCCCTTGCCTGTGCTGCCCCCGCCTCCCTTCCAACCAAACTAAGCCGGATGCAAAGCGTAGTATGAGGTGAGTGAGGTAAAGCAGGTCGTCAGTAGTCCAGTAGTAGTGGTGTAAGCAGAGTGGTGGCCCGCAGTCCCGTTCTCCCTTTCTGCTGCTGGTGGGCGCTGCTGCCCTCCCTCTCCTACTACTACTACTCTCCCCTCTTCCCTCCCATACTATTCTCTCTCTCTCTACTCCCTCACTCTCCTCTACCAATTCTCTCCATACAAATTCGCTCCCCATACAAAAAGTACTACATATCCGAATCGGTGAGTTTCCTATAAACATTCCCACATCTAAACATCTTCTCAACAACACCAACCCAATTATTATTTTTCTCTGCATCTACTTGTACCCATCTCAGAACGTCTTTCTGCGATCGTTATTTGCTTGATTTTTCCAACATGACCGCGAGATCCTGCTGTCGCGCATTCGCGACCGCAATCATATAGTTCAGTTGCAATGAACAGCCCCAAACTGATATTCGTCGAATGCAGGCCAAAACAGTCGATTTTAATACTTGAACTATCTTCTTGCTCTTTGAGTCAGGTCTCAGGTAAGCTCTGGATGCGCGATTTTCTTTTCTCGTGTTATTGCTTGACTTGCGACCGTGAGCGCCCTACAAGCACGCGCACCACTGTGCTTCTAGCGCGTACTCGAGCATCAGTTCCTCGCCCTTTCCTCCGAGTTTGGTTTCATTTTCTGCGGTTTTTCTTTCATCTGACACACTCGTTTTTGATTTCCCGACTTAATTGGCAGCTTCTAACAACTCTTTCTTGCAGTCAATCACCACCACAATGCCTAAGGAAAAGACCTCCACCCGCGCCACCAAGACCAAGCGCGTCGAGAGAAAGAAGAAGGGTATGTGCTTGCGCTTCTTCTGACGCATCTTGCTTTGAACTAATCCTTAAGATAGACCCCAATGCCCCCAAGCGTGGTCTTTCTGCCTACATGTTCTTCGCCAACGACAACCGTGACAAGGTCCGCGAAGAGCACCCCGGCATCTCGTTCGGTAAGTCATCCTGACTAGAATCAGGCCCTGGATTGATGACTTACTCTCTCTGCAGGCCAGGTCGGCAAGATGCTCGGAGAGAGATGGAAGGCCCTGAGCGACACCGACCGCCGACCCTACGAGGAGAAGGCCGCCGCCGACAAGAAGCGTTACGAAGACGAGAAGGCGAGCTACAACGTACGTGATTATACGTCTTGTGCCTTGAATTGAACAGTACTGACAGACTTGAATTACAGGCCGCTCAGGATGAGGACGAAGAGGAATCCTCTTAAGGTCTTCTTTCAAACCTAGGTCTCTTGTGTCTGGACCGATTGGCGTTGTTGAGTCGTATTTTCACTCTGATTGAGTTGTATTCGTCGCTTTTTCCTCTCTATACTCCTTTTTATTTTAACTTGCGACGGCTCTCGGGATGGGATGACGGTGGGGTTTCTCTACGTGCTTTTCTGTTCTTCATGAAGGATCTTCAATGGGAAATGTTTACTGTACGGACTGGGTTGAATTTGACTTGAATAAGAGTGGGTTGCAGCCTTATTTGAGTTCCGGCTGGTGGGATTATTATGACCGGAAGCTGAAGCTGAAGCTGCAGAAAGTGATGTGTGAGGCAAGCAAAAAACTGCTGTATACTAGTAGCTAATCAACCGCATCCATCCTTTCCCTCTTCTTCTATGTGTCGTATATCAAGTAGGTTGCACGGGGTTGCTGCCGATTGACAGTTGAGACTGGAAAAATATGAGAGATCTTGCAGCTCGGGTACCTGGCCCAAGCTCCCGGGATGACGCGGGGACCGTTTGTTTACGTGTTGCACCAACGCGTCCCAGCTCCGATATCTCCGAGTTGGTGCCTTGATGCCTGAGCTTTGACACTTCATTTGGTCTCAGGTATGGACTATCGAAGTATGGAGATGTGTTATTGCGTCGGGCTATATATAGCTGGGATGGATAATGGAGCATCGTAGACATTCCATTGTCAAGTACCGAGTAGTGCTGTCAAAGATGGGGTATCTACCTAGATTGATCACCTGCGAGAGATGATACACAACTCAGCAATCGATGCATACCTACTGTTGATACTGCAGTTCTAGATGTGCTTCTAGCGTTGATTTTTCAAAACATAGTCCAGTCTTTCCAGCTCTAGATCTCTGACTGTGAGATCTTCTTATCGCTACTTAGGGAGTAGTGTCTCGTGATCTGCATGAAATGAGAGAAAGTTGTTTAAGGTTGGTCATGAACTTTGTTCTCACAAGGGGATGACAAAGAGTGAGACTTCTGGAAGTAGAGATGAAACAGAGATCATGTTCTGTGTCATGAGATGCCGGTCCCCCTAGCCAGTTGAAGCATCCCATTCCTCTCCTCCTGCTCGTCCTCGCGGGGTTACACTTACCCTTGCAAATCCTCATCACCGCTCAATTCGGTGGATGCGATTCCCCGCGCATTATTGGCTGCCAGGACTATCCTCTGCATGAACACGTCAACGATCCTTATTAGACGGCCAGGAGGGGGGCATCTTCTCTGTCGCTGTCTGTCGCTGAAGGAGCCGCAATTCGATTGTCTTCTTCGCCAACGGCCTCCAAGTGCAAGGATGAGGGATCTTGAGGGTCTCTTGATTGTACGTCGAACCCTTTTGACTCAGATCTTGTGCCCCACTTGAGGCTTCTTCCGCTTCTAGATACCCTATTCTCCGTCCTTTTTGAACAATCCTGGTTGCTTTCCTACTCTTTCATTCATTGTTCTTCTCTTCTGATAGGAATCCTTTGCGACGATGCATGCTGCTTTGGTGTGCTGTTCTCTGTCTTTCTATGAGAGCCTCTAAGGCGACATGCAAGATCCGAGGGCTGATCCCACCGATAACACGGCACAAGCAAGCTCTTGAATAACCCCATAACTAACTAGTTAAATACTTAGTCTAATCCTAATCTTCAGCCTCCGAGTTGGTCGTTGGCACCCCTCGGGCTTATTTTTCCCTTTGCCTTGATTCTCCTATGCTTGTCCTGGATGCAACTCCACACTATTTCGTATAGCCACCATTTGTGCGGTCCCCGCGTGTATATTTTTCTGCATCTCAATATTCCCTATTTGAACACTACACTGGTCAACTGTTTGTGCACCACATTCCGGCTCGTCTCTCCAATCGTATATAACGTGCCCCCACCTTCCCGAGGGAAACCTTTCTTGAAGGCCGCGGCCCAGTGATGTGATCCTCGCAATGGCATTGCGCACATCGGCCGACAACGCAGAGGATGTGGCAGCTGGCTTCCGGATGCTGCGCGATCCTCTGCCCGAGCATGCAACGGAGATCACCAGTCTCATTGCCGACCTCTACTCCATCAGCACATCTTTGACAAGCCTGGATGACCTCACCAAGAATCGTCACTATCGGCGCAATGTGGCTATCGCCAAAGAAGACCTGGATCTAGTGCAGACCAGCTTGAAGTACACCCTCGAGGACATTGTGGATTTCTTCGGCGACATTGAAGTGCAAAAAGGATCGAACCGAGAGGTCTACAAACGGACATGGCTTAGCCTGACTGCGTTCTTTCAGAAGGAGTCTCACGAACCGCTTCCAACTCGTCTGGCCAAGTACAAGACGTTTCTCCGGGAATTGGAAGATTTGATCAAGGAGTGCGTTCCGCTTCTCTTTTTTTTTTTCCCCCTAGGTCTGACACTGACATGATCCGGCAGCAAATTTCCCGAAACACCTCTTATGAGCGGTCTGCGCAACAACCTCAAGGGTCTCCTGATCCAGCAAGAAGACCGGCTTACTCCGCGATTTAGTGGCCTCTCACTAGGTACCCCGTCCTCGAGCACCACGAGTGCCGAGCCAGGAAGTCCTGTGAGTGATCGACGACCCCGGAACCGTAGGTCGTACGAGCGAGCCAGACCATCTCATCGCTCGCCTCAATCGCCCCTGTCTCCTTCATCGGGAACATTCTCGGATATCCCCCGTCTGCGCCTGATGCGCCGGGATCACCTACTACCGGCTCTACAACCACTACCAGTCAGTCCGCTGGCTCCAATACGCTGGTGAGCGACCATTGGGCCAAGCAGGTGTTTTTAGATGAGATTACAATGACCTCCATTCCTTACGTAGGCGAAAGGTGAGCGTCAATATGTCTCCAGGTTGCTTAGTTTAGCCATTGATGCAAGGACACTAGTTCGAAATGTCTCGGTGACCATTCTCCTGGGGTCAAACGGTGGCTCAAAGATGAAGGATTCGAGGAACTTTTCCAATTGTAAGCATACCAGGCCCGCTCAGGAGAGCCCGCAGCTAACCGTCTCAGAGCATTCACCGGCGACTCGGACCTTCGCGTGCATTTCTACCTTCGCGAGGATGACCACCGAGCGCGGATATTGTGCAAGGCTCCGCACACCACTCGACCGAGCGAATACTTCTGCATGCCTCTAAATCTCCTGGAGATAGTCCGGGTTGGCTCCTGTCTCAACCTGTGCCGGCGACGGCGCGGAGGGTATGAGCTAGTCCTGTGGGCAAACCTCAAGTTCAGCACCATCGAGCGTATGTCACGGTGTCACCCTCTGCCAAATGCACCTTTCTGATGAATAATAGAGATGGTCCTTTTCTTCTGCACATTCCTCGCATTACGCTCCCAAGACGCCGGCCGACCTGTGGAGAGCATCCGCGATTACGAGCTCGATAACGAAGAAGAGCTCTTCGGAGGGTAAGTCTCCGCAAATTCAGCCCAATTCAAAAGCTCACACCGCAACAGACAGATCCTCGATGATAATTACCTCCACGCGTTGCGCATATACCGGGACAAGGTATCCGGAGCCGTGAGGCTGCAGGCATCCGTCCACAAGGGGGAGATGAAACGGTATGATACCGATCCATACGGACTACAGAAGTTGACTGGTTCTTAGAGCCCCGGTGTGGACTGCATTTATCGCTCAGCACCTCGGGACGCGAGGCTGGATCCGCCGTCCGGATCCCAAGGTGGTTGTGCTGCGTGAGCTCCGTCAGACTATCTTCATGTTCGCGGCGGATTATACTCCGCAGAAGACGTCGAGGGGGGAGCATATATTGCAGTTTACAAATCGTGCTGGTGAGTTTTTGATCTTAAGGTTTTTATCGAATACTAACGGATGTAGATGCCCAAGGTTTCGTAGAGACCATCGCACAGCTGGCGAATACTCGCTAGAAAGATCGCAGTGAGACTTTTGATCGTATAGGGAACTATTGGACGACTTGGTGACAAAAAAAAAATACCCACGATTTATGTGCCATGACTGTCATGAGAAATGATCATTTGAGCGGCTTATTTGCCTCGTTGAGATATCCGGTGTATTCGCTTCTCTGGCGTCCAATGTTGCAATAGGGTATCATAATGTACAGCAAATTATAAAAGAAACTCCCGGATCTAGGATGCATCCGCCTGCAGTGCACCCAGATCCCCCAACCCAGCCAGAAAGGTCTCCGCCCTTCTCCTAGTCCGTAGCTCCTCAATCTGCCGCCTCCTCTCGTCCTTCACCCGCTGTCGCTCCGCCCGCCTCGCCTGCCTAGCCTCCCGTTCGCGCTGCGTCTCTTCCCGCGCACTCATCAGCTCCTCCATCTGCTTCCTCCGCGTCTCCTCATCCTTCGCAAACGCATAGAACGCCGTCCCGCGGTTCCGCACCTCCGCATCCGCATCGTAGTGCGTCTCCTCCGGCGGCGTAGGCGACCGGTCCCGGCGCGCAGCAAGCGACGCCATCTGCTCCGCCGCAGACGACGACAGATTGAACGCCTCCGCCTGCACCGCAGGCCCGTAGATCAGCTTCTCCGGCCGCGCAGGCTTCCACCGCTCCGGGCCCCGACCTTCCCCGCTCTCTTGTGCTTTAGCTAACGCCGCATGCGCAGCTTCGGCCCTCGTCCCGCGCCTCGTCCGCCCAAGCTCATCTTCGTACGAGACGATAGACGCATTGTCGTCGGCCGCTTCCTCTTCCTCTTCGGAATCATCCGACTCCCTCGCTCGCTGCGCATCAGCCCACTTCCGGTCGAAATCCACCAGCCCCTCCTTCTCCTTCCGGCGGAGTCTTGCCAGGTAATCATCCCGGTTGTTGATCTCTTCGTCATCGCTGTCGCCCGCGAGGTAAAGCCCGCTCTTGAGATCCTCGTACATGCGTGCCTTTTCCTCCAGCCGCCGCTTGGAGCGGTGCAGGGTGGCGGTGTCGACAGCGCCAATGTCTGCGGTGCGCTTGTGGATCTGCCGGACGGAGGTTTCGGCGGCGTCGTCGTCGTCGGCATCGCGGAGGTCCGCTGCGGCGCGTTTCTGGGCGCCTTTGTTGTGGACGGCGAAGATGTCGGATTTGTCGGATTTGGAGGGTCGAGGGCGGCCGCGGGCGGAGGACTCGGTGCCTTTGGTGATGAGGGAGGAGAGCTGGGTTGTGAAGGCGAGGGTGGAGGCCGAGGGAGCGGTTGATTGAGAGGAGGGTTTTTGGCTGTGTCGGGGAAGGCCGTAGAGGGATGGATTTGTGTTTGACATTTTGTATACTGAAATGGTGACTGTGAGCTGTTGGGAGGTTTCACTCCCCGTACTTTTGAGATGAAGAGCAAATAAATGTTGTACTCTGTAGGGAACTAACTCGCCGATGTCGATTAGATAACAATCCATGCCTCAGGCACCACTCCGATAATCGCTGCCCCGCGACTCCACGATCAAAGCGTTGGCTTCTGCTTCTTTTGTGATTCATCATCTGCCGTCTCTGTTCTTATTCATTCTCTAACGAAAAGTTTCTTGGAAGTGTGCACTGTCTATAGCCATTTCTGCCACAGATATCAAGAATTCTCAGCCATTGACCATGTCTAACATCTATCTCGGTGTCATTGGTGAGTATCCCACCTCGCTGCACCCAGTGTACTGATTTCACGCTTACAATGAATGCACGATGCAGGCGTCGGTGGTGTTGGAACCGCATTCCTGAACCAACTCGCCCGTCTTCCCAATGCCCCCAAGCTGATCCTCCTCGCCCGCTCAACACAGACCCTCCTGGCCCAGACACCGGCCTACTCCCCGCCATCCCCGCTGGTGACTGGAAGGCGGCCGCCGAGTCCCCCTCGCTCACCAAGTCGGGCGCTCTGTCCCCCGAAGAGATTGCTTCCTATCTTTCCTCCGCCCCCGGCCGCTCCATCCTGGTCGACAACACCAGCGACCCGGCACTGGCGAGCTCGTACCCGGTCTTCCTCCGCAAGGGCATCTCCATCGTCACCCCGAACAAGAAGGGCTTCTCCTCCGACCTCTCCCTGTGGAAGGAGATCTTCGCCGCGGCCGCCGAGGGCAAGGCGCTCGTCTACCACGAGAGCACCGTCGGCGCGGGGCTCCCCGTCATCTCGACGCTGCGCGATCTTGTCGCAACCGGCGACGAGGTCACCCGCATTGAGGGCGTGTTCTCCGGCACGCTTTCCTTCCTCTTCAACACCTTTGCCCCCGTCTCGGGTGCCTCCAGCGCCAAGTGGAGCGAGGTCGTCGCCCAGGCCAAGGAGCTGGGATACACCGAGCCCGACCCGCGCGATGACCTGAACGGCATGGACGTGGCCCGCAAGCTGACCATCCTGGCGCGCATTGCGGGCCTCGAGGTCCAGGGCCCGGATGCATTCCCTATTGAGTCGCTGATCCCCGCCGAGTTGGCTTCGCTGCCTTCCACCGCGGACGGCATCACGCAGTTCATGACCGAACTACCTAAATTTGATGCGCAGATGGCGGCCATCAAGGAGGGCGCCGAGAAGCAGGGCAAGGTCGTGCGGTATGTGGGTAGCGTGGACGTAGCGAAGAAAGAGGTGCGCGTGGGGCTGCAGCAGTTCGACAAGGACAGTGCCATTGCGGGGCTCAAGGGCAGTGACAATATCATCAGCTTCTACACCAAGCGGTACGGAAGCAACCCGCTGATTGTGCAGGGCGCCGGTGCGGGCGGCGATGTCACGGCCATGGGTGTGACGGCCGATCTCATCAAGGTGATTCAGCGATTGGGTTAGATAGTCCTAGCCCTCATGAACAGCAAAATCTAAAAATGCATAGTCATCAAATCAATTACGTAGAAAGTGCTTGACGGCCTCGCCCCATACAGAAACCCGTTTGTACCAATGCATCCCGGGCACATTGCCCGCCTTCAACCCATCAATCGCCGTCGCCAGCTCCTCGCCCAGCCCTTCCTCCTTGATCGTCTGCAGAGGATACGTGTACGTATGGAACGCAAAGACCAGCGCCTTGCTCCGAGGCAGCCGATGCAGCGTCTGCCGCTCACACCGGACAACCGTCTACTCAGCATCAGCATAAGCCATGCAGGTGCAGGGAGAATCACCCACCGAATCAACATCCAACATCCCCGGCTCAATCTCCTCCTTCCCAGCCGCAGCAGAGCCATGCACGCCCCCAAACGCAGCAAACAGCCCCGTCTCCGTCGTAATACTCCAGTTCACCCTCGCCACGACCTTCCCCACCTCCACGCGCGCAAAGAACCGATCCATGCTCCGCTCCAGCTTCTCCTTGTACCCGGGGACCGGGTCATGGATTGCTGAAAGCCGCAGACCAAGTTTCGTGCGCGTGTCGAACCCTGAGGGAAAGTATGCGGTGTACGCCGCTAGGAAATATCTCTCTTCTCCCCCGGCGTCCTGCGTCTTCTCAGGCAAGAGGATAAGGAATTCCTCATCGACTGTCTGGCCCAGGCTCTCTAGGGCTCTGAGGACAGACATCCCCTCTTCCATGTCTACGGGATACGTCTTCCCCAAGACCTTATTCTGCAACACCACCGACTTGGTGCCCGAAAGGGAAAACATCGTCGGATACCGCGCGGGCAGATACGTCCCCATAATAAAGCCGTACAATTCACCTACTGCGCGGCGGATCCGCGGATCAGTTTCATCGTGCACGCCGAGTACCACGTCGGGGTACTCCTTTAGTAGAGAGCCGCGCAGCGCCATCCGCTCTTTGTAGGTGTTGTCCATGGGGATGAGCTCTGAGATGGGGATGGTGGAGAGGGCTGATTCGTTAGTTTCCAGAGCTTACAGACCGGCTGGGTTACTGGGGACTGGGGCATACCCATCGTCAAGTGGTATTTTGGCTTGAAGGGACGGAGCAGGAGTGGTTCGGTGGTTTCCCAGTTGAAGTTGGGGAGGGGGTGATGGGGGGTATCTCTCTTCCGGAGGTTCATGTTTGGAAGGGATGGTCTGGTTGTGTTAGTGGGTTGAATTTGAACGAGAGGATGTCAGACGGACCTTGATCTTGCGATAGTATGTGAATGTGAATGCGAATGCGAATGCGAATGTCCCAATCCCCAGGACTAGGAATAAGGTCATGGATGGGGTTCTTTCGAGGTAGAGTCTCCATGACTCGAGGTACTGGAATCGAGTAGACATGACCGTTTACGAGGGATGAGACTCGTACCCGGACATGTCCATACCTCTCTACTGTATACCAGAATATAAACCTGAGAAATGAGTCAAGGAGGGATAGATGTCATGCCCGGTTGGATATCAGCTCGGTCTGTGCCAACGATTGGCGCGGGGAACCGCGGAGTAACGCCGACTCGACGAAATCACCGAACGAATCAGTATGGGATGATAGTCTGGTGTTTATCATCTCAAGCTATGCAGGATGTTGAATCGGTAGGCTAATAGTGCATTAGTGGTGCTCATGGAGCACCACGTATGATCAGGCAGAGGTATACATAACAGTACAAATGCAAACAGCCGCCTCAGTAGACAACAGACACGAGAAACAATAAACATATGGGTATCAATAGAGATGCACAAATCGACATCCACATCAGAAACAACAGACCCGCATCGAGCAACCGCACCTGCATTCAAACAACAAGCCTGGTCATCACATCACCCATCCGTATCCGTCACCACCCTCTCCCTCCTCTTCACCTCCACCTGCTCACCCACCTCCCCACTGCCCGCAGTATTAACAGCCGGCCCAAGCCCAAACACCGTCCTCGGCACCTCACTCCTCTCACCAACATTCACATTCAGAGTCGGCGCCCGGGGCCGCTGCATCCCTCTCGCCCGGCCCCGACGACGGGGAACTCGTACGCGCCCATTCGCCAGATATATAGCAGCACGTCGAAGACGATGAGCGCCGCCCAGGGGAATATGGTGATGATGCCGAGGAAGACCTAGCCGGGCCAACATTGGCATTAGCATTACATCGATTTTAGAGCAGTTGTCAAGGGCGGAGTGAGGGAGGCGTACGAAGATCCTAGCGGCCCAGCTCTCGACGTAGATTAGGTCTGGGGGAAGGATGGAGTACCACGCCATGGCTTTTTTTTTGGGTTTCTATGATGTAGTTGTTCTTCGTATTCGGAGGATGCCGTATCGTCAGGCGGGGAGCATGTGTGGGAGGGGAATGCTCAGTAGACGGAGGTTCAGAGACTCCCCGCTGACTTTAGATGCGCCCGAGGGAGCTAGAGCGAGTGGTAAGATCTGGCCGATGGCAGGGGTGAGGGACGCGATGCGGAGCTCGAGAACTCGGTTTGGTGCGGAGGCGTACGATATCGTCCGACAGGGGGTCAGGAGTCTAGCGACAGTGACATAAGTGTCAAAGTAAGTCTTCGGAGAGCATGCTTATTGAAGAGAACTGCGGACTGCAAGTAGGAGAAAGGCTGCTCTGGCTTGATTCAGAAGAAGAGGAGGAACCAAACTACTCCGTAAGTAAGGAGAGGAGAGCTCCCTTTCAGGCACCGGAAGCTGACTATCGCCTCCGCCGTCGGCCCAATCGGGAAAATCGTAAGCATACATCAAAGTGACATGTCAAACCAGAAGACTTCCGACTAAGTTTACTGATCGTATCCAGAAATATATAGCTAGTTTCTACAGGTATATCAAGTCGTAATAATAAATCAAATAGTTCATCCAATGTGATATAGGCGTAAGTTCGTTAACCCGTGTCAAATGTACAGTCAAATCAAATCCCACCGACCAAATCTATGCAAATATCAAGTTTATGACATAACCAAACCAATTCAGCTGTACAAAAATCTGCGACTACCGCGCAGGACGGTAGTGCTCATACGAGGTGAAGTTGGGATCGTCCTGATCAACAGGCCCGTATCCTCCAGTCCGCCATCGGCTCAGGGGAGCAGGTGTGATCTCACTCGTGCCTGGCACCTGGGCCTGGCCTAGAAGCTGCTGAGACTCGCTCGCGCTCCGGTGATGATACAGATCGGTGCCCATCGCCGCACTCTCCTCACGCGACAGCGGGGGCGGAAGGCAGGGTGGATATCGTTCGCGATTGGGTCGTAGCCTTCGGGCATTTTCAGGCCAGAGAGCGACGGCAGCGACGGCGTAGGCGATGAGGCCCGCGATGTGCTCGGTGACCATTCGGCCAGGTGGCTTCGCGGCGTATGGGACCGTTCGGTCATCAGATCCTCGGGGCGGCCATAGATACCCCGCCAAACTCGTCACGGAAGTCTGGACGATCTTTGAAGTAGGAGAAGTCGAGATGATTTTCGGGAACAACCTCGAAGGGTGCCGATGCGCCGGCGTCCATGGCCTTGCCCGGTTGAGTTGTCGACATGGGATTCATTGCAATGTCCGAGTAATCTCCTTGGACGTCCGAGGAGCCGAGTCGGCCGCGATAGATTTGTTTGAGTGCTTCGGCAGCCTTGGCGTGCACCATCGGGGTGATCAGAGGCTTGCACAGGGCGGGATGGCCGAACTTGGAGCTGAGCCGGTCAGACCCTTTCTTGCCCGACTTGTCGACAGCAAACGCCTCCGCATCGGTCAGGTTCGCTCGGTTGTAGTATTTGATCTCGTCGTCGAATGTCTTCATGCAGTAGAACTTGAATGCGAGCATCAGGAATGGCAGAGGAACCACACAGTAGACCATGGTCCAGGTACCCTTGGTTTTGGCCACCAGCGCAATGATTACATTGGAGAGGATGGTCGCAAAGACCAGCCGATTGAACAGGGCGCGCCAGAACTGGCCGCCCGATTCCGTCTTGGTCACGAACACATAGAGCAACAGATACTTCTTCAACATCGCATCCAATCCGAAATACAACGCAGTGACGGGAAGTACGATGGGCTGCAGCGTCGCGAAACACAACGCAACGGTCGAATAGAAGAGAAAGTAATTGTAGTAGCTCGCATAATCAAACGGCGGGGGCGCGGTCCATTCAATGGCCTGCCGGGGCGTGGGCGCAAGAAAGGTCTTGGCGAACCAAACCCAGAACAGAGTCACCAGCTGCACGAGGTCGATGGCCGCTCCGAGATTGCGCTGCAGCAGCCAGGTCACCCAGAAGGGAGACACTTGGCACAAGGCGCTCATGACCTTTTGGTAGAAAGCGCCATCCTTAATCGCTTGCCAGGCGTCCTCGTCGTGATCCTTCGCGTCGATGACGGCGGCTACAAATGTCCACGCGGCAGAGAAGAGCGAGAAGACGATGAGGTTGTTGAAGACGAAGAACGAGTACAAATGACTCAGGACGTGGCGTTCTCGCGAGGTTTTGGTTACGTCACCCGCCTTGATGGACAAACGACGGAAGATGATCGGTAGAAGGAGGTAAACCAGGGAGGTGATCGCCGGTGAGAGGATACCCTGGACCGCGGCCCAGACTTCCGGGTTCGCATTGAGCGACGTCTGAAAAGCAGGCCAGACCAGACCCAGATTGGACAAGTTGGACAAGAAGATGGCGATCATGGCGTTAGGAGCAATCCATACAACGGTCAACAACGTAGTCCAGATGAAGTTCATGAACCGTTTCCACTTTCGTGCCTGCTTGGATAACGGCAAATTCTCCCAAATGAGATCGTTCGGGCGAGGTGCCAGCCGGATCGTGGTTCCCTTGGGGTGTTTCTTTCGCGCGGTATAGGCGACGGCATGTGCATGCTCAATCATATCCCAGCTGACAAAACCGAACGGCATGGCGTTGCGCTTGTCGATGGACGCACGAACGTGACGGATCTCTTCCTCCAGACGCTGGATGCGGTCGGTGAGGTAATCAATGGCGTCCACCTTGCAATCCGGATGATTGCCTCTTTGCTTCTTGGACGGACGCATCGTCGGTCGCTTGGCAGGTAGCTGGTCGGGTCGCTTGAAATATTTCGCCAGAACGGACTCCAGTTGGCGCACGGTTTCCTCATGCTCCTTGATCAACACGGGAAGATCCTTGACATTTCGGCCGATGGAGGCCCGGGGGAGAGCAGCTGTGGGGTTGAACTCATCGACAAGCCGCATAAGCGCTTCGTCCGAACGTGCCTCGTTGGGAATATCCGTAATCTACAACGGTCAGTAATGGACATAAAACCAGTACCTGCTTGGCGGGGGCGTAACACACCATCAAGGTTCGAGCATGCAGACTGCGCTGATAATCCGAGCTCTGGAAATACTTTCTTCGCAAGGCTGTTACAGCCTTGTAATTCCTCCAAAGAAAGTAGGCAATGATGATGTCGAAGGCCCAGGCACAAATGACTTGACTCCAAATTGCCTCCGTTGTGACATAAAGCGGGGTCATGGTCGCAAACGCCGACAACGATGAGATGCCAGAACCGTTACTCTGGGTGAGATTAACCGGAATCATCACGCCGCATCCGATGATACTCAAAATGATGAAGATATTGCGGCACATCTTGGTGAAGCGCAGGAAGACGGTCGCATCGAGGCCGATGCATTCCACCAGCTCGGGCTCTCGCGTGCGCAGAACGGGTCTCATCCAGGCGAAGAAGCCCTTGCCCACTGGGGGCGGCGTATGTCTGCGATCCGCATGTTTGACTTTGGGCGCATATACAAGGGTGTGACGAGGACGAAAGAGGGAGAAGAGGAGAGCGAGGAGGATGGAGATGCCGGCGGAGGCGCCTAGCGAAGCCCACACGGCATTGATTTGGAACTATCGGACATGATTTAGCGATTGCGCAGAATCGAGGCGGATTTGGACTACTTACAGCCGATTTGAAAGGGTCTTGGATAAGCTTGAGAAACTGCTCAGCGCCCGACGTGTCGTCACGCTGTCGCAGAGCGAAGTGGTCCATGGTATCTAGAATCTACTGCGGCATGGACGAGAGAGCGGGCGGTGAGGGTTTCGCCAGAGGATTCAGAGGACAGAGGTATATGGCAGGAAACGAATGACTATATGATAGAAAAAGAAGAACGCACAGCACGTAAAAGAAGACAGAAAAGAGTCGGGAAAGAGAAGATAAAAAAGATTGAAACGGCCGGATAATGACTAGGAATGGCGCGGAGAACAACGCAAGACAGCAGCAACAAGAGGACGAGACCGCCCGCATGTGGGTTCGGTGGAGGCGGGTCTGGAACAGGGATTACATAGTAGATAGGCTAGGTAGAGGCTAAACATCAATGGAATGGATTCATGGTTAATGCATGTCTAAGATGAGATAAACTGTACAAAGCAGATACCGATTACCATGGAGATAGATACCTTGGAGATAACTGATTGCTCAGATGTCTGCTGATCTATAGATGACAATATTGAGACCGTCAACTGACCTTTTTGGCCTATACTCGTGGTTTTTCATCTATATCCATCGGTACCTGATGACCGTACGTAATCAGATGCTTTCCCTGGTTCATGAACAGTCGGTAGCTGGTACATTCTATTATCACTCAGATTGAGATGCACAACCTTGGGTGTTACATCAGCAATGCTGCCCCAACCCACCGGAACATTTCATGTTTATTTCTTCAACCCAGTATGCTCCGTTTGGCAACAAAAAAAAAGAGTAAGAAGGCGGATGGAAGAGGCAAACCCAAAGGGAAGAATGATGGAACAAAAAAGAGATGCCACTCCACAGTCAATGATCGGCCACTATGATTGGACACTATTGCACTTTTAGTCGACTGCTATTTTCGCCCACCAATCGCCGTTTGCCACTAGTGTCGAGTCTGGAACATTACCTCTTGGGTGGTAGTATTCTTACACACAAAGTCAGCTAGCTAGGTATGAGTTTTATCCTTCCATGGCCTTTTTAGGCCAAATTCTGAGACAACTGGAAAGGTCCGGTGGAGGCGCCTATCCACACACAGCCCTATACATGGTCTGATTGGTCCTCATCCTCATGTCGTCTACAGAGTAGGTAAGGTAAGTTGGCAGTATTTTATCGCCTTTTGAGAAGACACAGGAGGGTTTTCAGTAGGGTACAAGGATAGAACGGAAGCAAAAACTACCTAAGCACCAGTCTCCGGCTTGATCACGTTACCATGCAATAGTCAGACTTGCACCTCTACTAAAGCCTTAGAGTGGTCTTTCTCGGTCTCCTCCGAGGTTAGCGTGGTACGGAGTACAGAGTTCTCCATAAACCAAGAATAATGATTGCTCAATTGAGTTCTGCTGCATCGAGTTTGATATGCATCGCTGCCGGTGAGGTTGAATTTGCGTCCAGGTACGGAGTACTCCGTATACTCAAAGATCCAGCTCTTGTCTATCTACCAGGTAAAGAGGACCTCAGCATGGGACGCTGGATTGCAAGCTCGCGACTCGCCACTGACGTACTAGACTAGACCTCCCTTGGCATGCTAACAAGAACGACTGTCGATCTGCCGATCTGCCTTTTGACCGTTATGCCCGTATTCACCAGTAGGCAAGAGACTACGAAGTGGGAAGCCCTAAGGCTTGAGCTCCCTGGAGATATCTCAAGTTCTTTCTGAATGCACGCTTATTAGATCCCACGCAGCTATGTCACCTTTAGCGAATAATAAGCGGAGGGAAACACTAAAAGAAGCTATAACGCTTCCTCAAATATATATCCTGTTCCTCTCACGATATCAACAGCATTGGAATCCAGTCACAAGCCAAGTTAGAGATAAGAGACAACTATTAGATAAATAGGAAGCCATGTACTCTTGCTGGTCTTTTTCAAGACGACATTCTTATGTCTCCCTTCTATGAAACGTAACATATAGTCTAAGGCTGGAACCTGAAACATAGAAGAAACCACGAGGTAGCGACTTATTGGTCATACCTCATTCATGAAGCAACGTCAGCCATGCGGAGATTTCAATGTCCCATTGTGTAGCGCTTCTCTCACCATTGGCCCTTTCTGTCATGGATTCTGTAGGTTAATAACTTTCATGCGAATGTTTCATCAGTCGATTAGGGACTAGCGTCGTCATTGCTCGTCATAACTTGTATACTATATCTATGCAGGTTTGGACTGAAATACTAACATTAATATTTCTTAAGATCCATTCATTTGCTCATTTTATGTACTGGTATCTGGAAGATAAATAGAAATCTCGGTTTTCCCAAGTCAAAGGTAGAAGAACGTCCAAGTCAAGACCTTCTACAGCTGGCCAGCAGTGTTGAAGTCCTCCAGAGCAACCTGCACACGCTTGCTCATGGTCTTCTCACCCTCACGAACCCACACACGGGGATCGAAGTGCTTCTTGTTGGGCTTGTCCTCGCCGTCGGGTTGCCGACAGGGGTCATGAGGTAGTCCTTCTTGTTGAGAACGTAGTCACGGACACCGGACATGTAGGCGTACTGCATATCGGTGTCGAGGTTGACCTTGACGACACCGTAGCTGATGGCCTCCTTGTACTCCTCCTTGCTGGAACCAGAGCCACCGTGGAAGACGAAGTAGACGGGCTTGTCCTTCTTGGAGCCGATCTTCTCCTTGACGTAGGCCTGGTGCTTCTTCAGAAGCTCGGGGTGCAGACGGACGTTGCCGGGCTTGTAGACACCGTGGACATTACCGAAACCAGCGGCAATGGAGAAGTAGGGGCTGATGGGGGCGAGAGCGTTGTGGATGGCCAGGATGTCCTCGGGCTGAGTGTACAGGGAGTTGTTGTCAACGTCCTCGTTGTTGACACCGTCCTCCTCACCACCAGTGATACCGATTTCCTGAATATGCATTAGCTTACGCACACAACGCCAGATGAAAGAGAGCTTACCATCTCGAGCCACTGCTTCATAGGGGCAGCACGCTTCAGGTACTTGGCGGTGGTGTCAATGTTGTAGTCAACGGGCTCCTCAGACAGATCGATCATGTGGCTGGAGAAGAGGGGCTCGCCGTGCTGCTTGAAGTAGCGCTCATCCTCGTCGAGCATACCGTCGAGCCAAGGAAGCAGCTTCTTGGCGCAGTGGTCGGTGTGGAGGACGACGGGAACGCCGTAGGCGGGAGCAATGCTGCGGATGTAGTGGGCAGCGGCGATGGAACCAGCGATGGAGGCCTTCTGGCCATCGTTGCTGACACCCTGCAATGGATTAGCTCTATCCTGAGATTGAAAAACGGTTACAAGGAGATACGCAGTCTCTCATACCTTTCCAGCGAAGTAGGCAGCACCACCCTGAGAGATCTGGAGAACGATGGGGCAGTTCTGGTCGCGAGCGGCCTCAAGGCAAGCGACGACGGTGGAAGAGGAGGTGACGTTCTATATTCAGCTGTTAGCATATCGAGCTTATGCACCAGCACTAGTTGCGCAAGCTATAATGGTCAGTACACTTACAATGGCGGGAATAGCAAATTGCTTCTCCTGAGCGTACTCGAAGAGACGGAGGACGTCATCACCGACGATGACGCCGGACTTGCGGGAAAGCTTCTCAAGGATACCCATTGTGACTATGGTTTGGATGCGACTAAACTGTCTGGATTGGATCGAGTTGTAGAGAATGAAGAGGGAGAGAAGATCTGGACGGGAGACGGGATAGATAAGTAATTAGATCACGAAACAACAAAACTTTTTTAGTAACTCTTCTAATTCAATGAAGATCACCGAAGAGCTTTACCGGACGACGAATACGGTGGCAGTTAAATAAGTAGCACGCAGGGGAGGGGCAGTGAGCCACTAATGGAGGGGCAGCAAGCAGTGGGATGCCTTGAAGAACTCACCGGGTGGTGGGGAATTGATGTAGTCAGTATGATTTCAGTTTGCCTGAACCGGTTCTCCTGATGATGTGGTAAGTACAGAGGTAAGAAAAAGAGAAGAAGAGAAGAAGGGAAAAAGGAAAAAGGGAAAAGGGACGAATGATATAATAATAACCATACTAGAGTCCCTCTCTCCCTTTGCTATGAATAATAAGAATCCTGAGCTATCCTGCAGCAGCAGCTCTCTCTATGACTGGTGGGGTAAATTGGTCCTAGAGGGGCAATGACGCCCGTTTGGCCTCAGGCTTGCGCTTCTTGACCCGAAAATCCCCGCGTCCATCACATGACATCATCGCCCGCGTCATGGACTTGAAGCTCTACTCACGCCACTGATATTCAATGGATGAACTGTACTTGCGTGTAAAAGGGCCAGCTGTATACAGTGGCCAAGAAGAGAATAACTTCAAAAGATGAATCGAAGCTGTGTCCTGTCAATTGAGCGCAGTTCTCAATTCTACAGTCTCAGCCGGTTCGTCGACTCCGGTTTGCTGCGAAAATAAATACCCATCTCTCCGTATTTCTTTCGTGCCTCTATACATTCTCGGCGAAAGCAGCGGGGAAACTCTCCCCTTAACCGTCAATTACCGTTCCAGGTCATTCCCTTGCTTTCTTTTTCATGGCCCCCAGACTTCCTGCTATCCGGACAATTGGTTATCGTCGGCATCAGCCATGTGCGACTTTGTATGAAGCGGAGTAGAGATTCCCGACAACCAAGGCCGGCGGCGTCAAATTTTCTTTACTACAGTCTAGACACAGGAATGAAGCTCTATTCAAAGACTATCAACCCGTTCTATCCTAAGCTTCTATGTCCAGATGATATCTGACCGAGGAATGCCCCGACGAAGAAACTATGTACGTATGCGATCAATGTCCATATCGTCTATTTCAAATATGTCCCCACGATATATGCGCCGCACCCAACTGACACGAGTCGCGTATGTGCATCCAATCATGTTCTCATCCCTCAACTTTGATTGCCACGACTAAGGCCCGAAAGACCCTTTTTCCATTTCATAAAACAAGAGATAGACTTCTTTCTGCATGCCCAGCACGTCTGAAGTCTTGCATTCCTTGATCTTCTCGTCGGAGATGCGCCACCATCGATCATTCGTCTTTTTGCGACGACGGAGCCGAGAACTCGACAGGGCTGGTGCTTCTGGAGGCGTCCTGGGAGTGGTCCGCTCACTCATGAAGGATGGCCGTGATCCGGACTTGCTCCAGGCTCCACTATCACTAGCCGGACTCTGAGTTTCAGACCCTGGCGGCGAGAGATTCTGCTTAGAACCTGACGATTTGGTGCGGATACTCTGAAAGGATATACGGGAGCTGGATGTGGTGGGCCGAGCAGACGGCGAGGGAGGCGCATTCAGCTGGGATGCAGGTTTTGAGGAGTCCCTCGCCGACACTGACTGACAACGATCTGGGGAGGAAAGCGAAGTGCCCGACAGGGATGGCAATGATGTCGAGGAAGAGAGGCTGATTGGGGAGGGTTCTGTCTCCGGGACCCCGCGAGCCGCGAGACGAGGACTCGGTGCAGTAGAGGGATTGACGCTGGTCGCCCGACTTTGCGCGTAGGAACTAAAGACATCCGGAGTAGAGAAAGGTGGGTAGAGGTTGTTACGTCGGAAAGATTCGTAGTGGCCGCTGTTATGGCTGCCTTTGTGGCAGACAATAGCCAGCAGCTTGAACCACTTCTGGCTCAAAATCCCACCCAAAGGAAGTCTCTCAGGGAAGGACACTTTGGCTGCATTTTTCGTAGAACTACTGCGATCAAAGATCGAGCGCGAAAGGTGGATTGCTATAATCCTGGGGAAAACAGTGATGCGCATATGGCGAGCAATCTTTCGCTTAGGTGCAAGGTCTGATGGAGGAAAGCTGACTCCTTCGGGAGGATTCTCTGGATCTGTAACGATAGCATGTCGAATCAGCTGGATCTCTTGCTCGAGACGCTCCCGATCTCTTGTCGAATGAGACCTGCTCATTTCTACCATCTTGGCATCCAGAGCATGTTGTAACCGGCATCTGTCACATTTGAAGTCATCGATATATTCTGTTTTGAGCAACCCGTCAAAGCAGGAACTGAGGGTGGTCGAGCTCTTCTGAGGAACTTGTAGCGTCAGGTTCACGAATGAAGTCTTGTTCGGCTTGTATTGATAATGGCAGAACTGGCATTCAATCTGCGATTCCATTTGTCCTTCGAAAGGAAAACCGTATTCATTGTCGATCTCTTTCAATTTGTTGTCGATGATTGCCGGGAGGCCCATCTCAGTTCCATCGTCAACCCGCACTTCGACTTCAGTAGATCCCTTCTCGACAGCACTGCTTTGCACATATTCCCCGCCGCCTGAGCCTGGCAGCGTCGCAAGAAGACCTTGTGCACGCTGTCGTGCCTTCAAACCGGCATGGTACTCGTCACAAAGACGCTCCGCAACGATCTGAAGAAATTCCTGCGCATCCTGCTGATTGCGGCTAATCCGAGTACGGAATGCGTACTCGAGAGCCTGGATGAAAGCCCGGTTGGTGATGGTTTTCTTGTAGATTGGACGCTCATTCAATCGGTCCAGCATCTCTTTCAGAGCTCGCGTGATCGTACCCTGCTGTAGTTCCCGGACCCTCTCGGGCCTCATCCCCCGCGGCGTCTCATCCGCCTCCGGCAGTGAGTTATATACGTCCGGTCCGTCCAGTTCACGCCGATGTAATTCCCTGATCAGGTAGACACGCAGATCGCCCAGACCCGCGAGCGCCTGTAGAACCGAGTTGATGAAGCAGTCGTTCGCCGGATTCGACAGCCCCACAATGCTTTTCTTGCGGTTACCGTCGTTCGAGTCGTCGCCGTCGATCGTGTAATTTGGTCCGAAGACGTAGAAGAGGGCCACAGCGGCGAGGGATGCTCCGGCTGCGTATGCGGCGATGGTCGTCGACTTTTCCTGCATAGCTACGTTGCCGTCGTGCAGCCTGAGGGTTCTATCGGTGCTATTGGTTTGAGAATGTCCTTCGAATGCGCGAACGTCGCCAGGATTATCGCTCCATTGGCGGCACGCGGGGGAGGTGAGGTTCGACTCTGACTGGGAGGCGAGCCACTCCGAAAGCCAATGGCGAACCTAACAGCAGGACAAGAACGTCGATGCGTTTCCTTCAACTCCTGTAATTCAATTTCTTTTTCGAATGATGGTGTTCAGAGTGAAGATGACAGTTACTGGGTGGCGGCTATGGGCGGATAATTGTCCGTCAGATAAGTTTTTCCCCATACACAGCGTAGCACCCGAGGATGTGGATTGTGGAGAGGAATCCGAACAATGGGGTAGAAGGCGAGAAGGGGCACTCACGCATGCTTATAAACTGCTTAAATAATCGCTCATGTCCTCGGAACATTTGAATGACAAACATGACAGAGCGACTTGCATAAATGAATATTCAGGCAACAATATAAGGGAATGCTGGAATCTGATCAATCTTCGTCGTCTCGCTCTTCGCTCTTCAACTCCCGAGTCCGGCCGGAGAACCTGCCACGCCAAGCGACCGTCAACAGCGTCTGAAACCACCGCACTGGAGATCCTAAGTCCGCCTGACGACTACAAAATAGGAGCATGTTCAAGGATACCATGGCTTCCGGTGCTCCAGCAGTTCGTGGACCAATATGAGATCATCGGGGTCAGTTGAGTGGTGTTGATCTGCAGAACCATAGTGCCCCTGAGCAAATGGTAAGGAGATCATCGCCAATAGGGCTTGATGATCCCATACGCAATCCTAATAATTGTCCACTTGTTGTACTCCATCAGCCGGATCGGAGAAGTTCGAAGGATAAATGTTGTAACTCGAGTGTAGTTGGGTGGTGATGGTGTCCCTTTTGATAGTGCTGGATCTAAGCCTCTCAGAGACATGGCATGATCGAAACGTGACTTTGAATTAAAAGGCGCAAGTCAAGCAGATTAACAGTCTCTCGGCAACATAATTGAGATATTTGGACATTTTAGTTGAAAATAGAGCAGGACTATCATCAACTTAGAATGACTGGGTTTCCTTCATCGTCTGAACTGACTGAATATAGAAGACTCAATTCTCAAAATCGCTTGAACACAAGTCGTTTTGTCTCAACAGAAACTTTTCATTGATTCCATCTATTGTAGTAGTCTTTCTAAACAGAGATTCGTGACGCACTACTGCATATACAAAAGTCATCGCTTCCCCCAAGCGATCAACCTATAGATTGGGAGAGCGTCCAGATTTCCCATGTGGTGGGCCTTTCGCGGAAGGCCGCGTTGAGAGAACAAACTTAAGCGCGGATCGACTCGGGCAAGTTAGCAACCTTGTCGTTGAACAAGTCCTCTGCTTGCTTCCAGACACGAGCGTTCTTTCTATCCTTGAGTTGCAGTAGGCTCGGCAGCAAGGCTTCGCTGAACATCTCGGAGCTTTCACGAGGAAGGAGGGAGGGGAGGTGGTCGATGCTGATCACGCTCAATGGAGGGCCCTGGGCCCGTTCGGAAAGGGGAACAGTGACTGTGGGCTTGTCGAAAGTGGTTGTGATGGAATAGACAGGGATAGGATTGTTGGGATTGGTTCTGAGTAAGACAAGACCAGAATGTTAGCGAGAACGTCGTTTCTCCCAAGAGTCCAAAGAGTAACATACGTATCGGCGCTCACGTCGCAAATGACGGACAAGCGGCGGTTAGGAGAAGAGAGAGTTTCGGTGTCGACGAAAGGAGGGATCTTAGCGGAGAGGTAGATGCAGTTGATGAAAATGTCTGCATCCTCGACAATCTCTCTGAAGGGACCACCTAGAAAACTAGATCAGCGCAGGCACAATGGCTGCAAGTGAGAAATGAAAATATACCCTTCTTGGTCTCTTCCATATCCCACTGGATAATATCGGACTCGGGAATTCCGACATCCTTGGCCAGCTGAACGGCTCCCTTGCCACAGCGTCCAAGCTAGACTTGGTCAGTACAATGAGAAGACCTCAGCTCATCGGATGCAGACTCACAGCTCCAATGACAAGCACCTTGGGTGGCCGGCCGGACTGCTTCTTGCCAGACTCCAACGACTCCTTCACTGACTCGATCAACAGGTCCTGGTTTGCGTAGGGAGTCTCGCCAGGAAGGGGCTCGCCCTCAGGATGCGTCAATTGCCAGGCCCAGTTCTTAACGGCCAAAGCAGACCCTGTACACAGCGTGAGCATTCCCCCATATGCAACGCATAGCAAACCGGAATAATTTACCTGCATAACCGGCTGAGTATCCAAAAGCTGTAGGCGAAAGTAAGTCACTAATTCATTCATCCAAAGCAGAAACAGTCGTCACCCACCAGCTACTCGGCGTCCGCTGTCATCTGTGAGGAACTCCAAGTCCAAGAGGGTGCCGCCTCCGCGGGGCCACCGGCTGAGAACCTTCTCCCAACCAGCCTGTTGCTTGTAGCAGTGCGCAAAGGAGATGTGAACGTGCTCAAGGGGGAAATCATCTTCGGGAAGCTCCTTCAGACCCAGGATATAGGCATCTTTGGGTGCATCCTTCACCCATGAGCCTTCTTCGACGAGGGGGGCGCCGATCTGTACAACTAGTGCGTGAGAATGTCGTCCGAAGAAGGGATCATGTCCGAATCTCGAATTACCTGCTCAAACTCCTTATCTGTCACAAAGCCAGTTCTGTTAGCGATTGGGCCTCAGAAGGAATCAGGGGACATTATTCTCACCGTCGAAAATCCGCTGTGTGGAACGCTCCACAGTCACCTCGAAGCCGGCATCCATAAGGGCCTTGCAGGTAGTCGGGGTCACTACATTTCATAGAATTAGCACATGCAATTCGAAGATTTACGGATTGAAAATGCCATGATGAACAGGCATTTGTCTCAAGAGCAAGTAGAACTCACAGGCAGACCGAGCCTCGGCGGGCTTGGTCTCAGCGCGCAACCAGATCTTATTGCTCGACATGACTGTGAAATTCAATTGATGAGTGCTCGAAGAGAAATTGACTTTTCTTGAAAAGAACAAAACCGAGATTTTAAAATATGGAAAGTGAAATTAGGACGATGACTACTGGAGCTATGACACAGACTCATTCCCCTCCAGTGATAAGTTAGCGGTTGATCCGCTCCGTGTGACTCAGCGTGGGGTTGGGGTTGAGGTACCTGACTAACAACGCCTCGGCCGATATCGGATTTTCTCAAGAAGTCTTGGGATTGCTTCGTCACGATAATTGCGCTTGTACCTGCTCTAGACGACTTCGTTTATACGTCGAAACATTACTTATCACGATTGACACATGGAGTTGAAGTACTACTGATTTCCTCGATCAGAATATACTCGCAGATATCGAAGTGATAATTACGTGCTCTTACTATGGATACGCAGGAGTACCAGTTTGCATTATCATTGCTAAGACCGCTAGAGAGAAATCGAAGGAGACTGTCTCGTGGCAGACGTTCAATATTAGGCCATGAATGTCAATAGAGCCCGAAAATCAAAGGAGTGCAGCTCAGGTCGCTGCAGCCTTGGTCCGACTGCGGGTCCGACTCCCGATACCATCTGTATGAACTATACGCTTCACTGCGTCTTTCACTTTCTTAGAGCGCCCTGACTTTTGCTCACCGTTGCGAGTGGCATTCGAGGTCGAGTCACCGGCGGCCGTGGAAGCTGGTTGACCGTTTTTGACCACACCATTCCCTTCGTTAATTTTCTGCTTCTTACGTGCAGGTTCCGTAGGTTCTTCAGGGACAGCTTTGTCATCATTGACCGGTGCCGAAGACGGGTTGTGCTCTTGTTTGTCTCCAACTTGCGCTGTGTCTGCGGTAGATGGCGGTTGAGCCTCAGTCACAGCCCCAGCGAGGGCCTGTTCTGGAGAAGTTGAAGGATCGACAGTTTTGGAGTCTTCAGCAGACTTGGTTCCTTCCGAGCTGCTCTGGTTTGGATCGGGGACGGACTCTGCAGGCAGCGCTTGGTCACGCTCTCGTGGACGGCTGTCGCCCTTGGCCTCTCTAGCAGTATCCTCCAGCGATTTACCGTTGACTTCTGCTTCGGTCTGAATTGTAGGCTCTGGCGATATCCATTAGCGTCTGATTGCTCTGTTGGACGCTTAGGGTGGTAATTAAACGTGGTTGAGGTTTAACTCGGGCGGTCAGACAGCGCCCTGTATCCTGGACATACCTTGCTTGGGGTGACCGTTTACAACGCCAGAGTTATTTTCCGTAGCCATGTTTGTGATTGCTAATGTTACTTATATGTGCTTCAATCATGTATGGGGAATGGGACGATATAATTGTCTCGAAAAAAAAGCGACTTGATTATCACTATAGCTGAGATCGCTAGGATAGATGATTCTGGAACAGTGTATCACCGATGAGGAGAGGTCAAGGATGACAAACTGTGGAAGGAATGGAGAGGAGGCTGCGCGTGCGACGTTGACTAAGATCTTCGAGAACGCTAGCCTTTTCTCGGTTATTTGTTCTATTTTGTCCCCGACATGTTAGCGGATGCTGGATTTAGTAACGCAACACCAGAATGCAATTCGGGGCTCAGCACCAGGGTCTGGCCTGCAGCTCTGGCGTAATCCGGCGCTTCCTGATGTTCTTTGTTGTAGGTAAGCATGCCAAGAAGAGGAGTAGGGTGGCATTAGTGCGGCAGAGTGGAGCACCAATTGCGGAGTTGGGACAAGATGGGCGCTTTCTCGCGTGAAGTGCGTCCCTCATCGTCAAAAGTCCATGACGTCGATGAACGATGCTGGAAAGACGGTACTCCAATGTTCCCGATTAGCCGGAATCCGATGGATTACGTGTTTGTGTATGTTGATTCGACATGATTAACATGTGAGCCAATGCGAATCATGCCATGCCCAGGAGGTTGGATAGGTTTTCCTCCTCTGCTGAGACTTGATCAAACGTGCTGGATGCTGAGTCCTGGCCAATCTTCTCTGGTAAATTCTCCTGAATGAAGCGTGCCAAGTATGAAGCTTCCGCGAATTTTTGCTGATCGACCAAGATACGAATGGCGGTAATGGCATAGAGCACAAAGTTCTCCTTTTTCGTCTTGGGCCATGTTGTGAGCCGAACTCGTGATATTCTCTCTGTAAATTGCACAAAGCGGGTGGCGTCGGGTCGGGTTGGGTGGAAAAGAGGCACGCAAGCTAGTAGTAACGACTTGAGAGACCATGAAGCGATAATCCTCACATATTCATCGTACATCTCAAGAGGCATCTGTTTGAGCTGTGATTGCTCATCCTCCATGGCTGCGCGGCACAAAAACCCGGCTGCAGGCATTAGTAGCGCTTTCTTGTATTGAACAAGGCCGAGTTCGTAATCTGTAGAGATTGGCAGCCTGCTCGCCTCCAAATAATATCTCATGGCCGACACCAAACCCTCTCCGTACTGAATCTCAGCTTTCAAGAGGTCGAGCAGGAAATTGCGAGCCACGGTTTGGGCCATGGCCTCCGATATGCGACCGTCAGTACCACCCAGGTCACGGTTCAATAGCATTGCCAGCCAGGCCATCGCCGTTTTCTGTAGCCCCTCAGCGACCATGAATTTTAGGAGTGTGACGGTTGACGATCGTATCGTGAATAGCATTTTCCTGGATTCCGAATCGGATGCGTACCACCAGGACACGATTTTGGAACCAGCCTTAGACTTCTTCATCGCGTCTACAACTCCATCGCCGGTATGAGCGCTGGCGAGCACTAGCTGGGCCCTCAAACAGTTGAACAGAGCGGTCTTATTAACAGAACCCGAGGCAACCAACTCATCGAAGACTGTCATAGGCTCAGTCGCCAGTTTCTGCTCCTGAAGTGGTCCAAGACCGGATTGGTGGGCAGGACTAGCTGCATTTGAGGGAGTGACTCGGAAAAGAGGATTCTCCAAAATAGTCCTCAGATGTTTGTCGGTCGCATGAACGGAGGATAATGGATTGTCGCCGGTCTCATCGTTATTGGCGGAGGAGGATGATGATGATGGGTACTCTCGATCAAGCTGGCGACGGAAGGAGGACGTAAGGGCGTTCAGTAATTGCGCTGATTCTCTTGGCGTACGAGGAAGAGGTTGATGAATTTTTGCGAAAGGGCTAAATTTGAACAATGACGACCCCTTCATGTTGACTCTGCTGCCGTGGGGTTGATGGAGGAGATGTATTGTGAGTGGAATATCTCAGTTCTTGCTCAACTTGTCCCTCAGCAGTTCAAACGGAGCATCCAAGGGAACTCCGAGCCTCAGGCAGCGAACATCACCTGAGCGCCTTGAAAGCGCAAAAACGGGGGCGGTGAGAAGGATCAGCGAATGAGGAATGGTTTCCTGATACCCAGACCAAAGCAGGCCACACAAGAGGAGGAAAGGGTTAGAGAGGCGAAACTGTCCACAAAATGGAGATCAAGGAGGGTTTTAAGATGTAGAGTAGTCAATAGTAGCTCAATTGATGACGATACAATCAGTTAGACAATTATAGTCAACAGAGATAGAATAGCTAGCTGTATTCATCTCTAAGTTTAAGGCTATGTAGATGATGAATTCATCCCATAGAGCCTCCCCCATATCTATCTAGTAGTCTACTCGCTAAAGGAGCAAAAAGATCGGCTGTTGCCTCAGGCTCAGCTGTCTCCCTCAGAAACACGCCGGCCCAAACCTTCTCTACCTTACTAGCAGAAAGTCTCGTTCCCTGCCATTTCGATCTTGATCCAAGTCCCAATAATTAATCTCTTCCCTCCCTTCTTCCCACTCTCTCTACTTCTTCCTCTCCTCCCACAAGTCTATAATAACTTCCCTTTTTTTATTATTCTTTTTTCCTGTTCTCAGCTATCCTCCTCCTCCGTCCTTCGTCTTCTCTTTTCCCTTTTTCCCCCGTTGTCTCCCCGGATTCGGCGGCCCTTGTGCCCGTGGTTTTGCTGCTGTCCTCTCGTGAGGGTGCAGCTGTGATCATTTCCACTACCGACGACCTCTTTTTACCCGTTCAGGTCAGCCACACTTTGTCGTCCCCACCGTCGACGTCGGAAATTCCTTCAATCTCCTCTATTATTTAATTGCTCCGTTTTGGAGATACATCAACACTACCAGAAGATATGTCTGAAGTTCAAACACGGCCTTCTGCCTCTCGAGGCAGAGTATCCGCTCGTGGTGGTCGAGGTGGCTATAGCTCCAGAGGTGGTCGCGGAGGCAGCAGATCGGCCAAGGCAGACACCTCAGACCAGACCACATTCGAAGATGAAGGAGAGATTGGTCAGATGAAAAAGAAATACTCGAACGATCTGCCCACACTGAAGGAATTGTTCCCTGACTGGACCGATGAGGATCTCGTTTTTGCTCTGGAAGATGCCGACGGCGTACTCGAGGATGCTATTGAGCGCATTACTGAAGGTATGATCACTGATCTCCCGAGTTGTATCTCATGTCTCTACGTCTGCTGTTCACTGGAATTGGCTCTGACTTTGGTCGTTCTATCTCAACAGGCAACGTCTCACAGTGGGGTGAGGTGAAAAAGAAGACGACCGACCGGAACCGCTCCAAGGCCAAGGAGGCTCAGAGCACCCCGACCGAGGCAACCACAAGTTCCGTTCGATCAGGCCGTGGACGTGGCGGATTCGAGGGTCGTGGACGTGCCCGTGGAGATCGTGGTCGTGGTGGCCGTGGCGGCCGAGCTGGAGCTGTTAGTGCTAACGGGGCACGCGCCGAGAAGCCCGTTGTCACTGCCACGGTGGATGTTGTGGAGACAACGATCGTTCCCGAGAAATCGATCGAGGTCGGAACTACCATTGTCGACGCCGATACGACCACCGACGCTGTCAAAGAGGCCCCGAAGGCCAACGCAATGCCGGATGGCACCAAGAAAGGTTGGGCGAGCCTGTTCGCAAAGCCTGCGCCGCCTCCGCAAAAGAAGCCCGCAGTCACACCTACGCCTGCGCCTGTCCCAGCTCCCGCTCCCGCCGAAGAACAACAGCCTGCCGCTGAGCCAGCAGCGGAGCAGAAAGCAGCCGAATCTGTCCCTGCTCCTGCCCCCGTACCCGCTCCAGCTCCAGCTCCCGCTGCTGCTACCGCCCCGCTCCTGCCCCGGTCCCTGTTCCTGTACCTATTCCCGTCGAGAAAGGACCTGAACCTGTCCTTCCTAAGCAGCCTGTTGAAGTCCCGGTTACTCCTTCCACTTCACACATCACTCCTCCCAAGGATGGTCTGACCAAGACAAACCTCGAACAAATCCCCGATGTTTCACCTCCCGCTCCCACAGCCACTGCGACTAGCACAGTGGGCAGCACGCTTGATGCCAACAGCATCGCGGCTGTCTCTACCCCCGCTCGTCAAGCTGCTCAAGCTGCCTTCCCTTCGAGTGTATTCAAGTCCGGCGCTCGGGCCCCCGGATCGCAGCGTCGTGTCATGGAACAGCAAGAAGCTGTAGTCATGCCTGGAAACCACGCCGTTGATCGTGCGGCTGTGCAGTTTGGCAGCATGGGTCTGAACGGCGATGCTGCCGATGTCGATATTGACGAGAACAGAGAAAACGCTGAAACCCGTGCTCAGCCCCCTCAACACTCTCCCGTCGCCCCTCGTGCCTCTCTACCTCCTTCCACTCAGGCCCAGCCGTCCACCGAGACTCCTACTGTTTCCCGTCCGGCTCCCGGACTTCCTCCTGTCCCACAAGTCTCCGCTGCCGATTCCTCTTTCACCGATTTTGCCCGCTATACCGAGGCCCAGAAGCCTTACGACCCGTTCTCTCAGCAGGTCACCCAGCCTCAACCCCAAGTGCAGGAGCCATTCGCAAACCAGGCCCCCGTCCAGCCCACTGTCACATCCGGCAGCGAATACTCTCCTTTCTACGCTGTTGACCAGCGCCTCCCTTACAACTACTATGGCACCTACGGCCAGTCCCAGGATGCCTCTGTGGCTCAAAGGGCGGCGGCTGGTTTCGGTGTCTCCGGCGCTGAGGTGCAGCCCCAAGCTCCCACCACTCAGCCTCCCAGCCGCTATGGCCATGTCGATGCTCCTAGCAGCGGTCACAACACCCCGAACCCAACCCTCCCCGCCGCTACTCAAACCCCAACTGCGCAGCACATGCCTGGTCAAGGTGCCGCTCATGCGTACGGTTACGGATACCCCTACTACTCCAACCCTCACTATGCTTCGTACATGAGCCAGATGACTCAGCACCAGTACGGAAGAAACCGACCCATGTACGACGATGCTCGCCGCTATGATGACCAACACTACATGCCGCACAGCACTCAGTATGGATACGGCAATCAGTATGGCCCATATGGCAAGGCTGGTATGTATGGCCAGCCGCACGGTTTCTCCTACGACCACTCCTCCTCGCCTGCTACCGCGGGTAGCTTCAACCAATCTGCTCCCGGCCGTGACTCCGTCTATGGACGCACTGGATCCACGCAGCCTTCTGAGACCCAACAGACCGCCGCTGGCACCAACGCCTTTGCCGCGGGCATGTCGGACGTATTTGGCCGCACACAGGCTAGTTTCGGCCAAAACCAGCCCATGTCCCAGCAGCCTCCGGTGACCTCGGAGGAGACGAAGAGCTTCGAGACACCTAAGGCGGCCGGGCCCAGCCCTCCCTGGCGCAGGCCAACCGTCCCGGCTCTGCCACTAACAGTGTGCCCGGACAGCCTCAGGCGCAGACTGGCCTTCCCCCTCTTCAAGGCCAGCAGGGACAGCAGGGATTCGGTGGATACCCTCATCTGAACCCCCAGTACAGCAGTGGACTGGGTGGACTTGGCGGACACCAGGCTGGTGCCACAGGCCAGACACACCACCAGGCTACCGGTTACGGTAACTACGGAGGCGCAGGTTTCGCTAACTATTACGGAAATACTGGACGCGGTGGCTGGGGAGGCAATTACGGCCATTAAAGGGTCAAGGCGTTCGCATCATTTTCTGGTTGATGGGAATGTTTACTGTTACATCATACTTTTTTTCCTCACCATGCTCTTTTCTTTTGAACTTGTTCTTCCCTCTTCTCTCTATTTTCTACGAGGCGGCATGCCTGGGTCAAAAAAATTCCTATACTGCACTGTTGTGTTCTGTCACCTTTCTTATGCCATCATCCACGTGTAATCTCTACTTTCGACGAGGGGAGCTCGGTCAGCTCTCCTCCAGGATTTGATATGCTACGCAGGGATATGCTGATGATACTGTATTCAACCGAGAAAAATGCGAGGCATATTTCCTTTTCTTTGTTATCATCATTGACGGTTCATGACACATCTCTGCTGTTGTTGTTTCAGAATTGCCGGTTCAGTTTTCTCCCATCCAAGCATGATTCTCTTTCATCCATTATTCCAGATTGCCAGTTCTATTTCCTCAATCTGGCTCTTTTTTCCACTTGATGTTTGTTCATGACAGAAAAAAGCTGCCGTCTGTTTTCCCTTTTCCTTATGTGCGTCTGTTTTGCATACTTCCAGCTTCCTTCCTGTACTACTTATCCGGTGTCATTTGGGGACTACATTTATGCAATTCTGACTGGATTAGGACAAGGGATGGGGGGCTCCGGGAAATACAGGAAATGAATTGAAATGATTTGGGATGGCGTTTGATATGATTTTCCTTCGTCTGATTCTTTGATCGTAGGCAGTTGGTACGATGAGAGCTGTACTCCGTAGCATTAGCAGAGTTGGTCCGGGTTCAATGTGCAGACCACTGCATATCTACGTAGCAGGTATCGACCGTCTCTGGTATTCACTTCGGAGAAAGATCTTGTATGATTTGGGGGCCTCAGGGTTCGAGAATGACTTGTTCTCTGATGGACTGGCATTCTCAGGGAGTAAGAAAGTTAGAAATGATGAGATGGATTGATTTGCTCAACTTGTGGATTCTAAGTGTTCAAGACTACTGCGTAACCTTCCTATATACAAGAATCGGAACTCCTAAAAATGGAGAGAGACAAAACCGATGAACGGATCCCACGTACCCAAAAACGATTAATGATTCTATATTCGCAACGTCCACTGTGGCATAGTGCATAGCGCAGAGTGCATAGTGAATACTGTATGAATGTGTGTGACAGCCCATTCATGTAGTAACAACTAGCAAGATTGGAGGCTTACTCGGACACTCCGAGTCCCTCGCCACCGGTCTGGTGATAGGGAGGCTTGGCATTCGCGGCGCGCTCCTTGTCAAAACGCCAGACGCCACCGGTCTTATCGCTCTCGAGTGAAGTCAGGCCGACCATCCGGGCCAGACGCTGAAACTCCTCGTCGACCGTTTCATCGACGCGCTTGAAGAACCGGCGCTCCCACTCCCGGTTCTCGGCCTTTTCGACTTTGCGGAGCTCGCGTTGAGCGTTCTCGATCTTCGACTTGGCGAGAGAGGTGGCGTCCATATCACCGCGCTCGATGGCGGATGCGACGTCGCGCCAGGCTCGTCGGCTCTCCCATAGGTCTTGCTCCTCCGGAGGGGCGACGGTCAGCGGGCTGGTCTTCATGTCCTTGGCGACGTAGCGGTCGATCTCCTTGTTCGTGCGAGCGTCCTTGATGACGAATGTGTCGGACCATTGTCCCTCTGCGGTGTATAGGGGCTTTCTCTCCCCGTCTTTCTCGTGGTAGAGCACGGCGTTGAAGGTGTTCTTCTTGCCGCTGAGCCAGCCCTTGCCGGAGTAATTGATTTTGGCGATGTAGCCCGTGCTACTGGCGATCATGGTCGATCTCTCCAGTTCCATGAACGGCGTACCGTAGATGAGGGACTCGACATGCAAGTAGGGGAGTGTGATGAGGTAGCGCTCCTTCTGGGCGGGATCGTTCTTGTCCGCGGATGGAGGGGTGATTGTCAGCAAGGCATGGCCGATTTGCTTGATTTGAATGGTGTTGGAGAAGGATGCCTTCTGCGCATTGTATCCTTGTAGCTAGCGAGAAAATCATGGTAAGATTCTAATCAATTACATCCACATGCTTAATTTCTCTTGGCTTACCTCAATACCGTGCTTCTCGTTGGTGATCGCATAGGCTGTGGCAGGGGGATGGTGGCTGTTATGGGTCAGTACGGGGTCGCAGCCGAGACCGAACTAAGGAAAAACGAACCTGACTTGCTCGCTGATCAAGGTAGTCTCCCCGGCATCAGGATCATTTTCCCACTTGCCGAGGAAAAGCTCACCCAGGAAGGGGTTCAGAGGCTTCTTCTCACTGCCCAGCTTCTCACTGCGAGAGCAATACTGTTGGCGCAGCGTGCTGAGAAACCATTTCAGAACAGCCAATGCTCGCTTCTCAGGGTCAGCTTCTTTGGCCGCAGCCACAAACAGACTGGGATGTTCAGCCCAGTAGGCAGAGTATTCCGTCAAAGAGGTGCCCGAAAGAATGAAGGGAGGAGCGGTTAACGAGGAAAGATCTCCGTTGAAGGAGGCGATCGACTAGCAAAACATTGAGGTTAGGATAACCCATTCAACGGTAATTTGTCGAAGAAGACATAAGAGTGGACGTCCGAGGTCAAAACTCACCTTCAAGAAGCTGGACCAGGACCCTTTGCTTGCAGGGGGAATGGCAGACTGTGGATCCTTACTGGAGCTCATGTTGGGTATACCGCTGTGTGTTTGACAAGAAAACCACGTAGTCCAAGAAGAAAACTTAGCAAACGCTAATGGAAAGATTATTTAGAGACCAAGAAGAAGTAAGCTTGAGTGGGGATGAAGAGAAGAAGAGAGGGCTCTCCAGCAATAGACTACGTACTACCAGAGACACCAAAATAAATTAATTGCTTGCTGGCGAGTTTCAGAGGGCACAAGTTACAACACAACGACCGCCAAGAGGGGAGTCGGCTGCGACGTCATGGCCATCTCCGTAACTTCAGCGGTCGAACTCTTGCCCCGCATGCGCCATCACCAATAACGACATCTCCTTCTGCATCGCTTATCCTCATCATCATTCCCATCTCCAGTTTCAGCGTCTCAAGATGCACAGATCGACCAATGACCTGGTCCTCCCGCCACTGTGTCGACCTTGGCAAAGGCATCATCTATCTACGCCCCTTTCTCGGGGGACGCGTACCTCTCTACACTGAAAGACAGCAGACATCAGTGGCTGGTGGTGGCTTAAAAAAAAAAGACAAGTTAACCAGCTATCTTATCTGATGACTTGGCGACCTGTTTCTGCTTTCAATCAAGGGCAGTGATACATCATAACTTGGAATGCTGCGGAAAGCAGATTCAGTCACAAACGGCCTCTCTTTAGCTAAAAGCATTTGATACTGATGCCGGCGCTCATAATGTCCAGTCTATTTATAGGATTCAAGTCGATGGGAGTTCTGCTGAAAGACTTACAGCAAGCGCTATCACAATCTCACTTCAGAACCATAATCACAATCATACCATCTCAGAGGCCAATTCGCAGATTCAAGACTCAACCATCTCTGATGAGCTGCACTGCCCAGGGATGTCTAACGATAGTTGAAAGTTAACACTGGGAACAACGGAAGCGGAAGCCTCGTCATTATGGATGCTTGCTACCTTACTCCCTATTTACCCTTGCTTCTCAACTCAAGTTTGCTACCCTGCCTGCTACGGGTCCGAAGATATATCATCAAGTAGAGAACCAATCGCAAATGAGCATATTAGAAACCAAAGGGTCCCTGTTTTAGGAGTCAGGATTCTCAGGTCGATCAGTTTCTGGAATGGCCTCCCTGAGTCGCTTATCCCTTCTTTGATCCACCAAGGGTGATCGCCAAGGTTGATTAGGTAACGGATGCTCAGAATGCTGAACTTCTACCTCTATGCAAAGGAGATACCTCATTATTGTCAATCTGACCCATGGTTTATTGTCGAAAACAAGTCATTCCAACTCCCCTGCTTCTCCTTTGCTGACGGAATGTACGCTTCCGTCCATTGCGGTTCCTTGGCCACGAGATGCTCGCCGACAGGCGTATCTGTACGCCACATAGGCTCCAACCGGAGCTTAGTGCATCTCTTCTCAGTTGACCGTATGGTGTAACACTATGCAAGCTCTCTATGAGATGATGCGTATCACGCATTCCTTGAGGATCGGCCTCATGGGATTTACCAGGGCTGCTGTTGGCCACGCCTCAGCCCCGTTGTTCTGCGTTGTCGATCATGTTTCCACTCCTGGCCAAGCTATAGGCATCCGGGCCCTCTCCCGAAGCATATAGTGGCCCATCAACGTATCCACCGTTGGAGAGGATCATTGGGTCTCTGTTTACCTCAGCTGTCTCTGCGTGGGTCGAATATCATAACATATTTGAGAAAGACTGCGTAGTGCTTCCAAATCGAGCTACTGAGAGCTTCTGTACCTCACATCCTTAAGGCCTCTAGCCATTGCGTGCTTCATCAACGTGATGAGGGCCGGGCTGAAAATTGAACTCATTGCATTGCGACGCGTAATGCCCGATGGTCTAGGTGGCAGCCGTCTGATCAGTGCCCTGAAGGTCATGGACTGCACATTGCGTCAAGATGCTCGACAGCTGTGTCTCGTACCTTTGTTTGTCGTGGCGAGCTCTCCCTTTCCATATCTTTCCTATGGGTTGCGCGTCCTTCATGTACTCAAGGACCCAACCACCCTTTGGGCCTCCCGGACATTTGATTGTCTCACTCGAGATGCCCAGAGAAGCCTTCTTCAATACATCGGAGTCGATTGTTTGTGTCCAGAAGATCGAACGCATCTGTTCCAGTACTTGCAAGACTGCACTGTCTCAATTCCTATCAATCGTCGTGCACAATGCTCGGGGTACTTTGGTCCAGATCAGAAGACACAACCATGTCTGACAGTTACTCCCTGGACTCTTCTACGACCCAGCTGCCCGTAGAGGGCCCTCAAGGGGTGAATTCTTCTTATAGCTCGTTTCCTAGCTCACCTAAGACCCTTGTTCAAGTACAAAGTCACCTTGTGAACCATGACAGTTCAACGGAGACAGATGAGTATGAGGAGGAAGATGCAGAGCAATACCTGCGGTTCTCCCCGTCTCGGAAGATAGCCATCGTGGCTATTTTGACATATTGTGCTTTTCTTACACCCATTTCTTCCACTGCTATCCTAACCGCTGTTCCGGAGATTGCAACAACATTTGGGACCACAGGGGACATGATAAATGCCAGTAATGCGCTGTATCTTGCGTCAATGGCCGTCTCTTGCTTGTTTTGGGGTCCTCTCAGCCAGGTATGGGGTCGTCGTCCTGTAAGTGTGCCCGATGCAACCTTTGCAGTGGTGTCAGTTCTCTGTCTGACTGCAGATCCCTACAGATATTTATCCTAAGCGGGCTGCTATTTTGGCTCTCCACGGCCGCCACTGCCTTATCTCCCAACCTTCCTGCATACTTTATATTCCGAGTTCTCACTGCCCTACAAGGCACGTCATTCCTCGTGGTGGGAAGCTCTGCAATTGGGGATATCTACGAGCCTCGGGCCAGAGCCACTGCATTGGCATGGTTCCTATCAGGAAGTATGACGGGCCCTGCTCTAGGTCCATTTCTAGGAGTAAGCTTGTACCTCTTGAGGAGAACATGGAGTCTACCTAGTCGCCCTATCCGCTAACATGCATCGTCGAATCCAGGGTATTGTGGTCACATTCAGGCACTGGAGAGTCATCTTCTGGCTCTTGACCGCACTGACCGGCCTAGCCGTCCTGCTAATCACCCTGTTCCTCCCAGAGACCATTCCGTACACATCAAAGGCCGAGCTTGCGGGCCACCGTCATCCGAAGAAGACCAGAATGCTATGGCAGCGCATCTCACCCTTACGTGCTCTCCTTCTCCCCTTCTCCCACCCGAATATCTTTATTACCGGTCTAGCAGCCGGCGCTCTAGTCTGGAACCAATACGCTCTGTTGACGCCAATCCGATACGTTCTCAACCCTCGCTTTCACCTGTCCAGCCCAATCCAAGCTAGTCTCTTCTATCTCGCGCCAGGCTGCGGATACCTGGCCGGCACCTTCGTGGGCGGCCGCTGGGCCGATTACACCGTGGAAAAATACATTAAAAAACGCAATGGGCAGCGCGTTTCGGAGGACCGACTCCGGTCCTGTCTTCCGTACATCTGTATCGTTACACCGGGTTGTCTCCTGGTCTATGGCTGGACACTCGATCAAGAGGCTGGTGGCATCGCGGTGCCCGTGGTAGCAATGTTCCTGCAGGGTGTGGCGCAAATGTTCTGTTTTCCTAGCCTTCAATCCTACTGTCTCGATGTGATGCAACCGCATGGCCGCAGCGCGGAAGTCGTCGCCAGCAGTTACGTCTTTCGGTATGTGTTTGCGGCACTGGGCACCGGCGTTGTCTTACCTGCGACTCAGTCGATTGGTGTCGGATGGTTCAATACCATATCTGCCCTATTTCTGGTATTCGCTGGTGTCCTGGTGTGGTTGACGGTTATCTATGGCCCGCGGTGGCGGGAAGCTGCTGATTTGAAGTACTCCCGGAAAGCAATTGAGCAGAAGCAGGCTCGAGCGGAGGCATGAATTAAAGCATTTGTCAATACAATAATGTACTATAGATATATAGAAGGCTCCACTGGAGTATTGGCATTTAATATAGAATTGTGTTGGCTTTGCCCTGAGTGTTTATATATCTGCTCTCTAACGGTGCAGCGTATCATCTGCATTCCCTGGATGTATAGCTGTATGAAAAGTGTCTTCCCCTGGATCCAAACGTCTAGAGCAGATCATCCCTCCCTCGATGAACCACCTCCCTCTACACCCGTCGCAATACCACTCAAGCCCTTCAAGACTGCATCTCTGCTCAGGCCCGTTTCGGCGGACACCCGCGCAATCTTCCGCGCCTCCGCGAACCGCCTCGCATCAGCGCGCCCTTTCTCCACATCCACAAAAGCAATCGCGATCATAGCCGCAGCACATATGGCAAACAAGAAGGGGAACCCCATCCAGTTGTTCTGCGTATTGTTGATAATGGCCTGGATCACATTCGGACCGATGATGGAGGACTAGACCGAATCAGTACTTTACTCTGTTCTATTTATCCTATTGGCAGGAGATAGGGGCCAGGTATGTATGTAGGCAGCCGGCATTGCGGAATGATTGCTTATTGCTTACAGCTCGATTTGTGACGCCGAACAGCGCGAAGAACATGTTATCATAGCCCTGGGGCATGAGCTCACTTATCATTGTTTGCGCGTACTACGGTGTGCAGTGCCCGGGTGGGACAGGTTAGCCTCGTTTCGAACGAGAGGGGAGTTGTGGTACGCCGTACAGCATAGTAGGGGGCTTGGAACAGGCCGAAAACGACATTGTAGAAGTAGAATTCCCACTGCGGACGATTGTGAGTTTGGAAGCTGGATGTATTGGGAGATAGGAGACTCACTCGGTTATGGTACCCGATTCGTTGTGTCCAGAGTCCTACCATTCCCCAGAGTGGGATTAGGACGCTGAAGAGGTTTGTAACCAGGAACATGCTCTTGGTCCGAAATTTGAAGTACTTTTGGATGTACCAGAATCCGAAAGTTGAGGTGATTGAGCATACGGCCTGTGTGATGCCTAGATAGGTTAACTGTAGGAACGAAAAGGATACATAGTCGTTTTGAATGATGGAAACCAAGGTTCCTGGAAAGATTGTATCAGCTTCCTGTCCGTTCATCTCCAACTGTCTTTTAGGTGCAATACTGGCTGCACTCACCAGTGGTATTCAGTCCATCGGCAAGCAGAAAGTAAGCGATGAAATAGAGGAAAGTCTGTGGCAACGACCGGACCTCCCTGAGCGCAAGCCAGATTTGCTTGAAGCCAATCGTT